TCAAGCCGTGGATTCTCTGTACCAAGCCTTGAGCACAAGATCCGACGTTTCTCATGTACTTCTTCGCGCCAAACGGCAGTCATTTCCTCGAAGAGCTGCACGCAGTAGGTAAAAGGAAACGCGTTTTCATCTTCCTCGTGCGCTTCCCGAAGAGCCTGCAAAAACTTCATGCGTTCCTGCACGTGTTCAAGCCCATAGGCGCTACCGAAAACCTTCACAGCATTCTCGGCGTGCCGAAGCCACGTGAGAAAGGTACTAGGCGTTTTCGAGCGAGCTTCGATTTTGTGCTCGGTGGGGGGACTCCAGTTTTCGATCTGCTCGACCCGTGCGGTGGCGCAATCAGAGGCCTGCAGCGTGAACGATTCGGTGCCCCCCCACCACAGACCTGCCAAGGCGAGGGCGACCCGGTTGGTAATAAGGACCAGCCACTTAATGAGCCCCAGCTCATGTTTGGCGTGAAGACCGGCGCGTTTGATACTATGGAAAAGCTCCTTACCGTAGACGCCTTTGCAGAGTTCGACCGAAAGTTGTCCACAGCCCCTGGCAAGAAAGACATCCAGCTTTTCTCCATCTTTCAGAGAACTAACTTGGCCTGTTGTGCCGGTCTTATCTTCATCCTGGACCTTCCGAAGCCCATCGATGGCGTGAATGATCCTATCAGTCGCCAGAGTGGTAGGGCCGGGGCCCAGCTGCTCCCCGAACGCAGCTCCAGCTTTCCTAAGGAGCCCGTGCCCGGGAAGGGCGGTGCAAGGAAAGAGCTGACTGGTTACAGTGAGAGGCGTACTCCCAGATTGAGGAGCTGATTTCCGATAGGATTGCTGTGGCTGACCACCAAACCAGACCCTTGCGCTAAGCCTGGGGGAAGCGGTGGTGGTGGCAGCGGGGCGGACCGACCTCCGAATGGGATGCCTTGGGCCAAGCCAATGGGTCCTCGATCGGGGTGGCCTCAAACTTTGGGGCATCGACGGCACCCAAAGCACTTAACTGTACAACCTCCGGGCTTACCCCGAAAGCGGTTGCAACCGGCCTCGCCAACGGAAGTGCCCGAGGCTCTAGCATCCCTAAACGACTCCAGGAGCAGCACAGGGTCCACTTCGGGTGGTACACCTTCTGCGACCCCTTCGTTCGGGATGACTTCCGAAACAGTGACGGCAGAGCAGAACCATCTGGGGATCACTCAGCAGCCGTCTCAAGTCTTCCGGACGAAGACTAGAGGGTGGTTCATAGTGGTTCACCTTCGCCCCTAACTCTCTTGCCATCCCAATCACGCAACCAATCCCAAGCGTGCGCGGCGAGCTGCACCGCCTGAACAGACAGCCCGCGCGACTCCAACTCAGCAGGGGGAGAGTAAAGGAATTCTTGCAACCAGGCCTTGGGATAACGATTTGAGGCGTCAGTTCGGGGCGGATCGCCAAGGCAATGCCAGGGTAGACTAAAGCGCAACCCTAATGAATGGATCCTCACAGCAGCTCGTTCAGTGCGCCTGCTATCTTCCGCAATACCCTCAACCTCCCCGAGAAACAGATACCAACCCGGAGGGCTCCCTGTTCCGAAAAAAGGGCGAATGCCACTGAGCAAGGGCGCACCCGCGTTGGGGTGAGCGGAGCGTTCATTCTTTGACGGGGGCTCAAACTCGGATGCCACCCCAGTATTGCGCGGACTCGGGCCAGGCGAAGCCTGGTCAGAAAAGCGAACTGCACGAATGGATCCGGTATCACGATGGGCATCGGCAGATTGGGATCTACGAATAGAGTGGAGGAGGGACTCCTCGGGCTTGGGGCCCGAACTCCTGGGTGCCGGGCTCTGAGAGCGGCCGCTCTCGGACAGATGCTTCTTGCAGAGAGGGGTACCCTTGTAAGCGCCGTAAGTCTTACAAAAACAAGACAGGACACTGCACTTCCTCCCCTGGCAAGAAAGCATGTACAACTGGCTGTGATGATTGCAGAGGCGAGCACACTCCCTTCCACCGAGATCCGAAAGCTGAAGATCTTCAACGAGCAGTCGCGTGGGCTCGCTTGCAGCCTTATCCTCACAACCTTCTGGAGCTAAAGCTCGAGGCTTACCTTGGAGCTCCAAGCCGACCAGCGCTGCCTCGCAAGGGTCGGACACGACCTCTGCTTCAGATTCAGAATCAGGATCCAGGGTCCGGGTAACCCCTTGATCCTGGATTTGGCGGGGCGCATCGGCAGACCTTCAGCAGGAACAGTAGCGCCAACATCGACCAAGACCCCGCCGTAGAGCTCGAAGACCGCGCCAACAGAGGACCAAGACTCTCCAACTGTTAAGACGTCCATAGGCACCCAATGGATGACTGCATCTGCATCGATGGCAGCGTACGCCTTCCAGTCGAACTCCCCCGCTTGTTGGCAATCCTCGGAGCGGCAAAGGTGAATCTGAGGAGCTCTCTCGACCTTCTCCCTCAAGCTTCGGGCGGTCACACCCAAGACTCTGCCAGGTTTGATCCATAGGCCGTGCCGATCCACCCGAGTTCGCTGTGACCAGTCAGGCTGCAGCCGGACCGCACCCCAAATCGAAGAACCAGATCGTGGGGTCTTCGCCCCACCCCTCTGCCTCGAACTTGCCTTTGGTAGTACTCGGTGTCCACCGGCCCGGAACCACCCGGACCAACCAGCGAGACGGTAGCATAAGCCTGAGGCGCCGGAGTTTCAGGAAGGTGCCGAAGAGCGGGATCCACTCCTGCTCCCCGGCTCCCAGGACCTCGGCGGCAGCAGCAAAAGCCGCAGCAAAGGCATCTTTCACAAGTCCGGAGAGACCAAGCCAGGGCGGTAATCAGCAAGGTCAAGCTGACAGCCAAGGTGGTCCAACCAGCTACCGGCCAAAACCGTCCGAAGCAAAGCACACCAGCTTTGTCCAGGAAGTATAAGGCCCAGCCACCATCGGTTCCCAATGTCCCCAGGTGATCGGGAGTGGAAAACACGGACACGTTAGCCCATCCGAAGAGGACCTTGAAGTTCCATTCGCTCCACCACACTGACATAGTTCCGGAAGAAGAGTGCCCGTTGGGCGGTTCGCCCAAGGACGGATCGTCCGAAGGCGACGAACTCGACTCGGTGAGGTTTCCCGAGGACAACGGCCACCATGGCAGCCAACTCTCAACGAGAGTCGCGGCCACCAAACAGTGGCCTGCGAGGGCAACCACGGAGCGAGCCATTATGGCAAAGTCCCTGATACCAAACTTCAACTGAGCCGAAAAGTCTTGAGACACATCGGCTCATTCGCTAGCAGAACTCTATGTTATCACTAACGAGCAAGACACAGACAAACAGAGACAGAAAGAGACCGCCTAGTCCGCATAGTGGACAACTGGTTACCGGGGGTGGCCGACGAAAACCGCGCCTATGCCATGAAGTGTCCTTACCAGGTAAACGCCATGCTTAAAAAAGCATGGGCACTACGCAAAAAACTGCGCGCCAAGAAGAAGGAGAAGGAAGAAGCAAGGGGGGCGAACACTCCAGCCACTTCTTCCAGACCGCCGGCAGGACAGCAAGCTGAAGAACCTCAAGAAGCCACGGGGAGAGCAGCCAGCCCTTCGGAGGAAACCCCACCAGACTGGGGAAGTGTCAAAGGCGGCTTTAATCGGCCGGGCCGGTTAAATTTAACCGATTTCGGCTTTAACCGGCCGGGTCGGTTAAACTTAACCGATTTCGGCTTTAATCGGCCGGGCCGGTTAAATTTAATCGATGCCGGCTTTAATCGGCCGGGTCGGTTTAATTTAATCGATTTTGGCTTTAATCGGCCGGGCCGGTTAAATTTAACCGATTTCAAGGCGAAGAAGAATGGCCCTCAGAATGCGACCGAGACCAAGCTGCGGACCCACAGTGGCCATGGGGGCCGGGGGGACGGCCGTCTGACAAAGACGCAGGACAACAACGACCCAGCGAACCGGAAGGGGAACCGCGGCATGCAGGACAACGGCGACCCAGTGAGCCGGAAGGGGAGCCGAGCAAACGACGACGAGATGGGACGACAGACGCCACCACGTCAGCGGGGGAGCCGCAGCCAAGAGTCACGCTGACGCCGAACATGCGCTGGCAAGTACAGATGGTGCAAGACCATATGGCGAACAGACGGGGGGCGACGACGCGTGACTAGGTCGAGTGCTGAGACTGAGTGAGCGCAGCAAAAAGTTTTCCGAATGCCGTAGTGAAGTGCTTGTGGGGGGAAACACACTTTCAGTGTTGTTTGCTTCTTTCTGAGAGGTTGACCCAGACTCGCTTGCACAAGCCAAGCTTAATTGGACGGGCCGCTGAGCCATAACCTACTACACCTTCGGGGGCGCAACTCGCCCCTCTCAAACTGCACTTGGGAAGCTCCTTCGGCAACTTTGACAGGACGTTTATACCAATTCGTACTTGCCTTGACTGGGGAACCTAAATCACCCTTCACCTGCACAGGAACCGCCTGCACTAGTGATCTTACTGTTTGTGTTGGTGTTGCTTCCAGACTAGGCGGGGAACCACACACAAGCCGCTGCTTTTGCGTGGGGGATGTGCCTGGCGAAGGGACGGGGGGATCTTCCTCTCAACCCTTCTCAGGTAAGCTCACTCAACCTTGGCCTGTAATCCTGGTTTCTTTTCAACGCACCGTTGTGAAACAATGTTGGGAATTCGGGGGGAACAGAAGGCCGTAATTCATTTCAATCAAGCCTCGTAGTCCAACGGTAGTCCTTGCTTAAAACAGTGGGGAAACGAATGCAAGCTTTTCCTTCGACCCCCAGAAGGCCTGCAGGTTTTGAATGCTGCTGTGCTGTTGTTGCTTGAGAGATGGTGTGAAACTAACCTGTTTTGCAGCGCGTACAGTGTGTGTACCTAGCGTTTTCTACAGTCGCAGACGTTCCCCTCTACCGCAGGGGCCCCTTGGACCAAGCCTACGGCTTTGCGGAAAAGTGACTAGTCTTCGCACTGGTAGCGGAGCTCTCGGTTAAGAGAACCAGAGCTCGTAGCCCAATAGTACGCCCCCTGCGCGGGCGTGTGGTCGCCATGGCTAGTGGATCGCTGGCATATCGACCACACCAGGATCTGGACACAGACCTGACGAAGTTTGGCTTCCTAGTCTATGCTGGAACCGTTCGTGACTTTCACGAGTGGGAGTTCCGAGCTATGACAAGATGGAAGCAGACCAAGGTTGAGGAGAGATCCGACCTTGCGTCCAAGTTCCTCGACTCCTTAAGGAGCGAGGCATACATTGTCGCAGAAGATTTGGGTACCGACGTTCTGTTCTCGAGTCAGAACATCCCCAAGGTGATCGAGGCAGTTAGAGAACGCCTGTTCCCTCTGGCGGAACAAGAGACGAAAGAACTTTATCGGTTAGGGACCCAAGTCGGCGGCATGTTGTCACGACAGCCGGGAGAGCCGATGATCTCCTACATCGACCGCCGCAAGCGGTGGCTACGCAAGCTTCAGCAATTAGACAAGGCCCTTCACATAAGTGAAGCGGTGCTGACAGATCTGTTGCTGGACAACAGCGGGCTCACCCGGCAAGAGCGACTCATGGTGCTGACCTCGATGTCAGGCAGCACAGCGACGAAGGATGCTGAAGCATCGCTGATTCGCATGCATAATCGTATCCATACGTTGGAACGAAAGCAGCCATCCGCCAAAGGCGGAACTGGCAAAGGGAAAGGTTTCCACAGGAAGGGAAGGGAGACCGAGGAAAAGGTAAAGGATACGGCAAGAGATCCCAGAAAGGGACTGCTTACACGTACCTTTCGGCCGTGGAAGACCTTTTCGAGTACCCTGACGCCGAGGAAGACGACGACGGAACGGCCTACCTGGCAGGCCAAGAGGACCAGGACGGCCAGGACGGTGATGGACAGGACTGGGCGTACCACGGCGAAGAGCTCCCCGTGTACGACAAGGAAGAGGACACCGCGTGTGTTGCCCAGTCGGCCGACGCTTCCCTAAGGGACGTCGAGCTTGATGTCTTCACTGCCTTTATAGGCGCTGGGTTCGATGAGGAAGACAAAGAGGCTTTGGCGTTTCTCGCAGACACCGTGCAGTGCGAGACCGTTGCTTTATGGCGCGGGCCAAGGCTAAGGGTAAAGGAAAGTCTGTGATGCAGAGGAGTGCACATGGATATCGGCCGCGATCTACCGGTCTCACTGTTGAAGACAGGAGACGGAAGCTTCATGAGATTAAACTCAGGAGCACGTGCAAAACGTGTGGCAGAAAGGGCCACTGGGCTGGTGACAAGGAATGCCCAGGCCCAGGGAAAGGTGCAGGAAAGCCCGCAGTGGCACACCTTGCCCAGGTCAGGCGTGTGATGGATAAATCCACACAGACCTGCGACTTCATCGCTAGCCCCAGCGAGAGCGACAGCGAGAGTCAAAGCTTTGACCCGGAGCCAACAGCGAACTACGTTAGCTTGGGTCAGGACTCTGAGACGGAGCCTGCGGCGTACATGGGTTTCTTCGACAGGACTGACCTTGAAGAGTCCGACGAAGAGCTCCTGGACGACTTTGCGTCGCAAGGCGCTCCCTCCACGGAATGGGATACCATAGAGTACCCTGACGGCAGCGACCAAGTGTTTCGGTTCGGGATGCACAGGGGTAGCACCTACCTTGAGGTTTTGCAGAACCACCCCGATTACTACCATTGGGGCCTCAAGGAGAAAGAGCCGAGCACCATGCTGGAAGCATGGCTTGTCTGGGTGTATCGCAACTTTGAGGTTCCACCGGTTGGCGGTGGAAGGGCTACACTCAGGGCGGTCACGTTGCCGGTGGAGGCCGACTCGCTGCAGAAGGCTAGGAAGGAGGTGACCCTTGAGAAGGCACCTAAGAGCAAGCTCGGGTTGTTGAAGCCGGATCCCAAAGGACCGTGCGTTGGAGGCTGTCCCGCACATGCATTGAACAAAGCAGGGAGCAATGCGCACGTAATCAAGACCACTTGCATGTTGTGCGGTAACAGGACCTCAAACCCGAGACCAAAGGCCGTACCGAAGAATGACCCCCTCACGTGCGAGCACAAGCGCACGGACAACAGGAACAGCACGAGATCGGTACACCGCACCTTTTGCCTTGATTGTTGCACTGTGGTAGAGGAGATCCCTCAGAAGCTCTTTAAGGAGCAGAAGGGACTCGCCGAGCAAGTGCAGCAGTCTCCACTCAAGGTGCAGAACCTCACGAGGAGACAACTGGAGGAGTACAACTTTACGAAGTTTGAGGCAGGTGAGGTGGTAAAGAAGTTCTTCAAGCACATGGACAAGTTTTTGTTGAAAGTTGACCAAGTCAGTTCAACCGAGTTGTCTAGTTGCCTTGAGGATGCGATGGACCAGGTTGTAGAGCAGACGAAGTTACGCATGCAACATGGTAGGGCCGCTGATGTAGCTAGGTCTAGTCAGGACGTAGAGCCCCCACCTTTGCCTGCGTTTTCCCCAGTACGTAGAGAGCGTAGGAGTGCACAGCCTCGTGAGCAAGCTTCGCCCGCCGCCGCAGCAGCAGCTGGCCCGAGAGAGAGAGGAGCAGCTGTTAGGGACGCCATGGCGGCGTCTCCTCCCAGCGGAAAGGGCTGGGAAAGCCGCGAAAAGTTCGCCGGCGTGGCGACGGCGGAGAAGAGTAGTGATCCCGAAGGAGACATCAGCCCGAAGAGCGTGCAGAGCTCAGACAGTGAGCCTGCACCCCTGGACGAGGAGATTGCTGAGCCGCAACTCCAGCTCGTGGATCCCTTAGAGGACCACGAAAACGTCTGGGTGATGCTGGACGAGGGCTGCAACCAGACATGCCACGGGACGAAATGGAGGGCTCACTCCTCAAAGGTCCTGGCAAAGTTTGGGTTGCGGTTCACCAGCGTGCGCTCGAGCGGCACGAGCTTCAAGGGCATTGGAGCGGCTCGAGCGACGGGCAAGTTCGCAATGCCGTTCGCCCTCCGCATCATGCCGGAGAGCGGAGGCCTTCGCCGGAGCACCCGTCTGCAGGGAGAGCTCTCCAGCGTGGAGCTGGACTCTCCGGACGTGCTCTGCCTCCTGTCCTTGCAGGATCAGGTTCAGCTTGGCCTGATCAAGGACCTGAGGCGCGGCGAGTGCCGAATCTCGGGCTACGCCGGGACACTGCAGTTGGCGAGGCACTCGAAGACCGGCCTCCTCCTCCTGTGCGTGAGCCAGTTTGGGGCGAACGTTACAGAGAGGCACAGAAAGTTTGCAGTGAATCCGGAGGTGATCCCTAAGAGGACATCTAAGAGGGAGAAGAACACTTTCTCGATCCCTTTGAGGGACGGGACGGCACGCAAGAAAGAGACCTTGATCCCTTCAGGGGACAAGGACAGCACGGCGTACATGCTGTCCGAGATGGTGAAGGAGACCGAAGGGCAGCGGAAGAACGTTTTGGTGGTCACGCTGGGCTTGGAGAAGCTAGAGACCTGCCAACGTGGGCGCGGCACCTACTGTGGACTCACGGAACTTATCCGTGGTATGCGAAAGGGGCAGTCGCACGAGTTCTCGCTGAACAACGAGGCCCACGAGGACACGCTTCTGGAAAGCCTGCGCCAGAACTTTGAGTCCTTCCGGGACTACGCCACGGAGCAGATCCTTTTTCTGGACTGCCGGCACATGAACGACCCGGCACGTACCTCAAGAACGTGCAAGCCATGGTTTTGGACCCAAAGACGAACGGAAAATGGGTGGCGTTCATGAAGGAGGTCGTGCCGGCCGTGCACAAGCTCATCCAGGAGAACGAGCAGTGCGTGATCTTTATGTTTTGCAAATCGGGAAGACACAGGTCTGTCTCGAATGCAAAGATCATGTACGATCTCATAAAGGAGACGTACGAAGTGGAAGCGAGTCTACTTCACCTTTGCGACGGTTACAACTGGCGATATCTATGCGGTGGTTGCGCGGAGTGCAACTGGGAGTCCAAGGAGGCTCGAAGCACCGCAGAGAAGGTGATGGACTTCGCAAGGGAGCGCTGGTACGAGTTCGTGCCCAAGGTGTGGGTGCGAAAGGACGGCCAGCGCCGCCTGGGCGACGATGGCGTCGTGGTGGAAGAGCCGATCCCTTCGGGGACAGCTCAGGCAGCGGGCGCGGGATCAAGCAATGACCCGCCGCAGCCTGACTCGGCTGTCAAGCAAGAGGCCGCTCAGGACGAGCAGCTCGAAGACGAGGACCACGACGAGGGCGACACCACTGGGGCAGCCGAGGCCAGTGCCAGTTCGAAGGCACCGGCGCAGCCTTTCACGGTGGAGACCCCAGACGGTGTGTCGGTGCCAGTCCACGACCTGCGACCCGAGCTGGAAGGATTAGATGACAAGTCCCTTGAAAAGGTAAGTTTTCTTTTTCTTTCTAGGGTTTATAGTGTCTTCAACCCAGCGAAGCTTACGGAAGTCACTACGCTGGTCGCTAAGTACGTGGACCACACCTCGCTCACCTGCGCCGTTGCCGCGAAGTACTTAGACTACGAGGCGGCGAAGGCACTTTTGTCGTCGCTGGTGACTGACGTCCGATCCGGAAAGCGGACGGAGAAAGAGTGGGACACTGACCTGGAGCTGGCTAACCGGAGCCTGGACCAGGCGATCCTCCAGCTGGACGAGGACAAGGCCGCGGCACAACCTGGCGCAACCACAGCTGGAGAGAAAGGACCCGATCGGCACAGGCCGACGGGCGAGGAGAGAAAGGAAAAGGTGAGAAGGGCAAGGGAAAAGGCCGAGGAGACAAGGGACGCTGGCCGAACAACAACCCTCGAGGCCCGAGGACTCATACCGAGTCCAACCCTGCCTCGACTTCTCACGCAGAGACGCGCCACGACCTGGCAAGTCTGGGGGAAAACCCCAACAACCCGGGAAGCCTCTCGGGGGCTTACTTGAGCCAAGTGATCTCAGGACACAAGAGGCACGGTGAAGTTGCCTTCAAAACTTGGTTACAGCCAGGCGTGGGGCACGAAGGAGCCGGACCGCCGGTTCGTGTGTCCTATAGGGCACACGCTGCAAACTCCTGGGATAAGGTCCCGACGGAGTTGCAGCGCTACCGCAAACACGTGGCGATCCAATGGACGTCCGATGGGCCCTGGGAGTGGCGCGAGACCAACGTGGCCGCTCACTCGTGGGTTTACTTCGGCGACCGTTGGGACCAGCACCCGCGCCACATGTTGGTGTTCTTGGTCCCGCCACGCGGTGGCAGTGCCTTCTACGTTGGAGGCATGCTTCCGGATCTCATGGCTTCCGACCTGAAAGTGATGAAGAAGGAGACCGGAAAGATGTTTGAGGATTCTTGCAAGAACCTCAACACGCACGACGACCTGCTGATGCAGGCCTTGGGGCTCCCGTCGGTGGCGATCACGGGCGAGCCGCCCACGATCTACGCCCTGGCGAACTCGGAGTTCCAGCCCGGATCCCTTGAGAGGACCGGCGCCAAGGTGATCGTGCGACACCCTGGCTACCGTATGATCCTTCTGGAGGACATCGGTTGGCAGAAGCAAATCTCTAAAGAGATTGCTAAGATCCGTCCCGACCTCCTGCTGTTGGTGTACAGTTTGGAAGACCAGGTAGGTCTCACCCCGCAGGTACAGACCTGGCTCCAGTCCCTCTCCGCGTACACAAAAGAAGTGCTTGTTCTTGACAGTCTAGGCAGTGTTAGGTGGAACCTGTGGTTTGAGAACAGTGTCGAGGGTACTGAGAGAGAGTTTCAGCTGTTTCAGTGTAGGGGTGACCTGTGTGTAGGGACGTTTTCGCAGGCGATAGGTGAAGTCATGTCTAGTTGGGCGAACTGTGACCATGACATACACTACTCACCTGTGAGCATCGACACAGTAGGCACGCAAGTTGGTTTTGCCGAAACCTTGTTGCTTGTGTTGCAAGAGGGCTGTGTAGAGGACCACGTTGCTGAAGCATTTCCTGTTGAGGCAAGGCAGGATGAGGTCGAGCAATCTGGTACTCTAGATGCTATAGTGGATCCCAGAGACAATAGGACCGCTTTCATGGATGATCTGGAACTCGCCGAGGAAGCAGACATCTTAGACACGTTGCCTTTAGCAGGGTTTCCGAAGGAAGAGTCCGAGAGAAGAAAGGCATGGTCTAAGGTACCAAGGCGTGTTCGCTTGGGGATCAGGAGGTTGCACACCATGATGAACCACAAGCCTAAGGAAGTGCTAGTTCAGGTACTTCGTGGGGCAGGTGCTTCTGAGGAGCTGGTGAATGCAGCTAAGATCTTCAAGTGTGAGTCTTGCAGGGTTAGCGAAGAGAAGGTTCGCACACACCCTGTGTCAGCTCCACCACCTTACGAGTTCAACCACACAGTTTCGGTGGACGTGCTGGAGACTGCAGACTCAACAGGCGCAAAGTTTAGCTGGCTGAACATTATAGATGTCGGCACAAGCTATCAAGTTGTGACCTTAGTCCGCGTTGGTGGCGGACAGCCGAGCTCAGCCAAGTGCTTGCAGAAGTTCATGCAGCACTGGGTTTCCCCTTTTGGGTGGCCAAAGGTGGTTTCCCACGACCGTGGTTTACACAACCGGGGCGCTTTCGCTCACGGCTTGGGTAGCCATGGAGTCCAGATCCGCCAAGCCGGACTGGAATCGCCTGAGCACATAGGGAAGTGCGAAAGGCATGGAGGCATCATAAAGCGAGCCTTTAAGCGTTTGGTCAAGGACCACAACGTTGTGGGCAAAGATGATGTCAAGGTGGCGATGCTCGAGGCACAGGTCGCAAAGAACGAGTTCATGCGTGTTGGAGGCTTCAGCCCCACCCAGTGGGTGCTTGGACGCCTGCCCAGAGGAGTGGGCCACGTTTTGGACGAGGAAGAGCTAGGACAGCTTGGAGTCTTGTCGGGCAGGTTAGATGCCACGACTGCGTTCGGCCGCCAGGCCGAATTCCGCCATACTGCCAGAAAGGCATTCGTCCATGAGGATTGCAGTCGCAGGGTACGAAAGACTGTGTTGCGCAAGGCGGCTCCCCTGCCGGGGAAATACCAAGCTGGCGACCTAGTTTGCTATAGGATCGCGCGAGATGAGCATTCAGGCGTTAGTACGTGGTCGACTGTTAGTAAAATAATCGGCTTCGATAACAAAACGGTCTGGGTGGTGCATCAGGGCGTGCCTGTGGCGACCAGCTTGGCGCGACTCAGACCGTGCACATCGGCTGAGGTTCTAGCGTTCCAAGTGTTGAACCGTGGCAACATACAGTACGAGCACGCGGAGGTTGAACGCGAGCAGCAAAGGTACATTGATGCCACCGGGGATGATCTATTGCCTAGACGACCCAGAAGAGCCACCGGACGGAGGAATTGGGATAGGTACTCCGATCCAAATGGACGCCGAAGCAGATCCTCCGGAGACTGCGGCCGCTGCTCCGGAACGAGCTGTTCGAAGGAGAGTTGGAGCAACACGTGAAGAGTCACGGGCCGTGACTGTGGAGGAGCCAGAGGACGAACAGGTGGACCCTCCAGGAGGGATCCAAGAGCCGATGGCTGAGGACACGGCGGTGGACGCCGATGGTGAGGCCGAGGCCACGGAAGGCAGCTCAGCGCTTCTTCTGAGGGCTTACGCTAGCCACTTCTGGACGAAAGAGGAAAGAACCGTTTGGAACTCACTCCCCGGGGAGAAGGAGTACGAGGCCTTACGGGTTTTCTTCGCAGACCGCGTCGAGGACGACAAGAAGGTGACGCAGTGGCGCAAGCGCCGCAAGAACTTTACGTCCAAGAAGCAGAAGGAGAAGCACGGGAAGATCCTAATGTACCACAAGTGCCCTGAGGATGTCCAGAAGGAGTTGGACAAGAGTAGAGCAAAGGAGTGGGCAAAGTGGCAGGACTTCAGTGCTGCGATCATTCTTGATGACGCTCAGTATGATGAGTTGATCCGTGAAGGACATCAAGTCATACCTACCCAGTGGGTAGAGCTGGACAAGAACCACAACAAGAGGTTACTTGATCCTACCGTGGAGGCCAACTACAAGAGTAGATTGGTTGTTCGGGGTGATCTTGAGAAGGGTGATCCTAGGAGTGATAGCCCTACTGAGCCCTACTGCTAGCATAGAAGCTCAGAACTTAGTGTTTTCGTTCGCTTCTTCTAGGAAGGTCAAGATTAAGTCCCTGGACGTGACCAACGCCTACTTTCAAGGCGAAGAGATAGATAGAGTACTTCTACTATCTCAGCCCAAGGGAGGACTCCCTGGGCTTAAGCCCCACCGGCCCACCAGCACATGCTGGCGAGAGCACCCATCTACGGCAGCACCGATGGTGGTAGACGGTTTTGGAAGCGGCTTAGGAATTACCTTAAGGGTAAAGGACTTCGCGAGAACCGCATCTACCGCGCGTTGTACAGTTACACCGACGCCGATGGGGTTGTACAGTTGCTCTTGACGTCCCACGTAGACGATCTATTGTGGGCTTGTGATCCGTCATGCGATTGGATCATGAACGATCTCATTGAGACGTTCAAATGTGGGAAGGTTGAGACCGGGAGCTTCAGGTACTGCGGGAAGGAGATAAGCCAAGACGAGGATTTCAATATCCATGTGACCTGCAGCGAGACAACGAGGAACGTGAACAAGATTCACGTTGACAAGAGGAGGCACCCGGGAGATCCCTTAACGGACTCTGACAAGACGCAGATGAAGAGCGTCGCTGGGTCCCTTGCTTGGGTTTGCATACAATGCCGACCCGACTTAAGCTATAGGGTATCCAAGATCCAGTCGGCTTCTAGCAATGGTACCGTCGCTGACATCAGAGATGCCAACAAAGCGGTCGAGTACGCTATTAGCACATACGACAGAGGACTTGTTTTCAAGTCTGGACTGTTGGACTGGAAGACACCAGGTGCTCTTTTGAGTCTGGTGATCACGGACGCTTCTCACGCGAATGAGTCCGAAGAGATGATCATAAATGAAATGACATCTGTTGAAGGACACCGGAGCCAAGGTGCAAGGATGGTGTTTCTTACAGACGGCGCCCTGTGGAAAGGGAACAAAGGTAGCATTCATCCCATCTTGTGGACGAGCAACCTCGTTCGGAGGGTATGTCGCTCCACCATACAGGCAGAGGCCTACACACTTCAGGCAGGTGTGGAGGACGGTGACGTGCTGAGAGCAGCTGTCACTGACATCTTCGGATGCCTCGATATGAAAAGGTGGGAGGCTACGTCGGCCAAGTTTGTGAAACAGATCTGGATGACAGACTGCAAGAGTCTGGAACTGACGCTTTCGAATCCGAAATGCAATAAGCATTCGGACAAGAGATTGAGCATCGAGATCGCGTCTCTCAGACAGGAGCTATGGCGCAAAGCTGGCGAGAAAGCAGGAGATCCGTTTTACGACGACTACAAGCCAGTGGATGATCAGTTAACTGACATCGTCAGATGGATAGACACTGACGTGATGATCGCTGATCCGTTGACGAAGGTCATGGAGCCGGTCAAGTTGGTTGAAGCCCTGAAGACCAACACACTCGACGTAGAGCAGCCGCTCGAGAGTGTCGTGAAGAAGCGCGCCAAGCAGCTTCAGAGGAGGTCGACGAAGAAAGAACAGGACAACGAGCAAGACCGTTGATCCTTGAGCACGAAGTCTCACCACACTGACGCTGTAAGAGTCACGGGTGTGAAACTAACCTGTTTTGCAGCGCGTACAGTGTGTGTACCTAGCGTTTTGTACAGTCGCAGACGTTCCCCTCTACCGCAGGGGCCCCTTGGACCAAGCCTACGGCTTTGCGGAAAAGTGACTAGTCTTCGCAGATGGTTTACTTGCTCGACACACCAGCAGGCCTTCCCTTTCCGTGCCTCGGCGAAACCTGTCAACACGTGCGGGCAGCCTTTTTTTGTTTCCCGTGTAGAGCCAAGCCCCCTTGTTTGAAGCTGAAGGGGGAACAATGGACATCCCGTGAAACCGCGGGTGTGCGTGTCCGCACGGGGGGAGTGGCTTGAACGCTGCCGCGACCCCGAAGCCCGAAAGAGAGAGAGAGAGAGAGAGGTGCAGGGGAGGACTGCTCGCGCCTCAAGCCCCTAGCAAAAAGCAAAGAGGTCCCTGCACCCCCAAACGGCCGGCAAGCAAGCAAGCAAGCTCAACACGCGCAGATTCGCGTTGTTAATTAAGGCATGTTAGGGCCGCACAAAGCGAAACCCACCCACGGGGTCTCGGGGGTCTCCAACGAAGATTATTTCTGTAACTGGGGTTGATGGCCCGATAGTCTTTCCACAGAATGCGAAAAATCAGAAAAGTCAGTTTCATTATTGAGAAATCATTATAAAAGCTTTCAGGGTCTAGGGCTTCACAGGTTTAGGTTTCACAGGTGTCGATGCGGGCCAGTTGCAATAGAAGGTTTCACAATGTTTCACAGGTTTCCCCAAGCGGCTTCACCAACAAGGGTTGCTCTTACTCGTCTTGTTGGTTTTTCTTGCTTTTTGGTGCAGTGAAAACAAGGTTTCAGTAACGTTGTTTCCGGGCTGGCACGCCCGTGTCGTAAAACTGCACGCGATTTCACGTGCATGTTTTCGACAGCCCAGGAGGACAAAAAGCACAAACGAAGCGTGTCAATGTGGAATCGTGCGAATCCTTCACGTGACAGCGCTTTCACGCATGCTCTGAGTCCGTTTCGCGAAAACGACGTCTTGAGCTGCCGACCCTCCCCGACCCCGCCACCGAAACAAGCATGCGCAAAGGAAACAAGTGCCAAGATATCCGCAAGCTGCACAAAACGAAGCAAGGTACAATGATGCGAATAGTGCACGCTTGAAGCATCCAGCCGAAGAATCGTTGTGAAATCAGAAACTTGATTTCAAGTGAGTTTCGTCTTGCTGGGCCAAGCAAGAAAACAAGCAACAACGAAGCGTATCATTCTGGGATAGTACGAATCCTGCGCCTAGACGACGTTTTCAAGCACGTACTTGTAGCCCACAAAGCCGACAGAGAGCAAGCTAAAAAAGAAGACCGGGCATGCACGTCATCACCTCCTTCAAAAATTGTGCGACCCTGAAAAAAAACGGCGCTACGCGTTCCTGCGTTGTCTGAGTGGGGGAGCACTACAAGCCAATCGAGGCAACCGTTTTAAGCAACTGTGAAATCTTCCGAATCCGTCGTGCAGGCCCCGTTTCCGTGAAAACCATACACGAAGATTCAACGGTCTGGCCCCGGACATAGCCCCGAAGACTTTTGAACGTCGTCCCTGTTCCCGAACCCGCTTGCCAGGTTTATGAATGGACGGGGTTCTGTGTACTGGGTGCATTTCCGGCGCGCTATTGGCGTGTTTAAATGCGCAAGTCCCGACGTGCGAAGGTCGCTGCGTGCGAATCTTCCGAATCCACCATGTCAATGCGCGAATCGGCCTTTTGCCTTCGTTTGTTACGGGGCAAGCGGGACAGGACTTGCCGGACTGGATCAAAGTGGGGGACTCGGTCTCATGCCGCAGAGTTGGCTACTGCCGACATCCCACAAGTATCAGCCGCGCGCTCTGCGCTTGCGATTTCCAACGAGGTCAATGAGCGTGCAAGGCAGCGGCGGTTCGGCAGTGTTGTGAGGATCTAGCTGCCTGGCCTATGTGTGCAGGTGGTGGTCCAACTCGCAGAAGCAGTTCTGCGATGTCACAATCACTGTTGTGGACATGTCGGCCAGACAAGTCACGGCAACTCAGCCGCGAGAGTGCTGAATTGTAGTCGTTTTTGTGCTGACCTGCGGCTTGGAGTTGGGTGGGAACCTGTGGAATTCGAGACCGTGCTTTCTGCTGCAGCATCCCTCCTCTTCTCCTTTGCAGGGCAGCTTAGAGCCTTGTTCAGTGCTTTAGCTGATCAAGGTCACCTTCGTGCAGGCAGGTGTCCCAACCGCGTCTGCGATGCACATTCGCCCTTCAGAATTTTCTAACGTTTCTTCCTGGTTGCGTGACCCTCTGACTCTGTCCCGGCTTGCAGGATGCCAGCTGTTGGAAGATGGTCTCATTCGAGCATTTCCTCCAAAAGCAGGCTCATACTAGGTGGAGCTTGGCTGCGATAGACCATGGGTGTTTCGGCGGAGCTATTGCAGGAGGACTGGCTGCTCCAGCCCTTCCAGCAAAAGGCACAGCATCATGTGTGGACTCACATAGCCTGTGCTCCGACGAGATGTTTCGTTGGAAGAGGCCAAGGAGCTGATTCAGCAGCTGCCCGACTGGGTGAAGCCTGGCAACCAGGCCAGCCTCCTCTTCCTCGTCGTTTGTTTTCGGCTTGCTCTCTCAGCACGCATGAAAGTACTTGAAAGCCAAGGGCTACTGGTGGTCGTCAAGCCAACACAGAGTCTTGCCGGTTCAGATCAAAGACGTCTGCTCCAGAACACGGCAGGCCGGAGCCAATAATTGCGCGCTTTGCGTAGAAGACATCTCGCCAACGACGTTTCTTCGCACAGGTAAAAGTGGTTTTCAATTGCAACAAAACGGCAGCTCGGAAGACGGATGAGATTGCTCAAGATGTCTGGTAATTATTAGGCATGTAAGGCAAGAATCAGGGCGAGCTGAGGTGAAAAAGCTCGTGCAATTCCATGCCGCTTGCCTTGGCTATTATGCGGCAGGGGAAGCGAAACATCATCTCAGCTCGAGTCCTTACTGCCGTTGAGGAGCTGATTGATTCTCCAAAAGAATGTCCGCTCCCCGTCCCCGTTCCTGAATTCATTTGCGGCATGTGTGTGGTGCTGTTGTGCCCAGGCCTCCTCCAGAAGGAGAGGGCAGGACACACCTGGAGGAAGCCCCGACGAAAGTCGAGAGACTCGAAAGGTTCCAAAGAGTCGGCTGAGGCGACTTGTTCCATCCTGGGCAAAGTGAGAGCTTCAATTAGGCTCAGACACGCTCAGACTCAATGCAGGCCGGAAGCCAAACTGAGGTTCCTGAAGATCTCAGTCTGGACCAGAGTGCTGTGGACAGTTGTGCAAATGATGCGCTGTGCATTCAGAGGCGGAGCACATCGCGCCATTTGCTTGTCAAACATGTGGCCCAGCAAGGTGCCACTAAAGGCTTGGGTGACATCATGGCGGAGATGACACAGGACCAATGCTTCAGCTGGGGCCCGATAGGGGTTCTCGCTTAATCACGCAAGGGTCGACAAAGTTCGCTTGTCATGACGCCGGACCTTACCATCCGCAACCACCTCATAGCGGGGAGGGGTGATGGGGATACAGGCGAAGAGAGCGCACAGCACAACTGTGCACAAAGAAGGGCTTCCTCCGCGGCTGCTGTGTCATGTCTTTTTCATCTGCAATGGCCATCTTGTGCAGAAGGCAGTTGTTGACTGCTTGGCAGGACATCGGGGACATGATGGCCGAAGGAGAAGGAGCAGCCGAGGACACACGCGGCGGCCGAGGGGAACCCCGTGACATTGCAGCTGCACTCCATGGCCCCACATCCCACGTCGACAAATCTCCAGCCGCGAATTGTGCAATCTAGGATGGCGGCCTCCGGAAGGCTTTGACTTTCATGGGCAGCTCTGAGTTCTTACAGGCCGCAGATGTAGCCTCGTATCTTGCGAACCTCCAAAGCATATCAAAGCATGTCGTAGTGCCGAGAAGACATGTATAGAATGTAGACTGTATAGATGCACGGTAAGCCGATTCCTCCGTGCAGGTTGACATCAGCTCCAAAGATGATTCAGCTGATCGGGTCCTGCCATAGTAGCCGATGTAATCACGCAAGAGATGCAACTTGAAGTCGCTTGCAGAGTTGTACTTTACAAGCAGGTGCCTGCATTCGGTTACGGTGATGACGAGCTTGCAGCAACAACGGGATCTGCAGAGGACTCTTTCACCATTACCGCGCCGCAGACGACCCATCCAACCCCCTTCTCTACCTGCCAAGGTTTGATCTGGGTCATCAGCTTGAGATAAAAAACCATGCAGGATTCTGGCGCGAGAAGTGAAGCCAACGCAAAGGCAAGGCACGCTTATGGGGCCTGCACATCAACAGTCAGCAATTACGGCATTCAGGAAGAGACCGGCGAGCTGGTGCAGGCAAGCAGAAACAGATGGAGAGGATCTATGACAGAAAGTGAGAGATACTCTCTGAGGTGGGGGAAAAAGAAGTAGAGCGGTATTAATTACCATTCAAATTCCGCCGAGTTACAAGAGTCACGACAAGTGTGGGCTTCAGTTGATGATGCCGAAGATTTTTCGTAAACTATAGAAAGAAAAGTCAGCCGCTGCATAAAAAGTGTCGAAGATGAACAGATTGCTATCCACTGCCATCAAGAACAAATCGAGTGTAGCGAAATTCAGTGCAACTAGTTTGCGGAGCCAGACAGTGGACACTCTCCAAAACTACTTGCGATGTGGCATCATCAGCAGCTGTTAGCTACTGCAAGTCCGAGCATCGCTCGGTCCGCCAAGCTGTGAGAGTCGGCGCTTCAAATCATGTGAACTGTCATACGCAAAGACGGAACTATCCAAGCTTGTTAGCATTTCCAGCACATTTCCCTCTTGTGCTCGCCTCCACGGTCCAAGATTTCGGGATTACGGTAGCAGATTTTGTGTTGGGGCTTTGGTTGTTACCTTGCCGCTGGCGCGGGGATGAAGCATGAAAAATGGCGTGAGCCAGCTGAGAACTCAGGAAAGGAGGAGAGATGCCCGAGATCTCGAATGCTGGTACGGTAGTATGCAACTGCACATAAAGACGGGCCTTCTGCTTTTTTGCGCCATAACGCTGGCTGTGGGGTCCCTGAATCTTGCATTTCCGTGAGGGCTCGGAGGTTGAATATGCACTACCAACAGGCATTTGTGGCAAGGGTCAGCCGGAGGCACCATGCAAGGTCACAAGATGCCGTCATGATGGCATGGCAAGGGGATGCTTCGGCAGCTTTGTTCGTGGAGTTCAGACCCTGCAAGAAACAAACCCAAAAGCGACCATACCGCCAAGCAACGACATACTAACTTCAATCCCACACAGCAACTCTGCTGTACTCGAGTAGGGTGATGGGTGCGCAAAGTCGGAACTGGGTGGTGCCGGGGGCCGAAAGTTCATATTCTGCTCCAACCCTTTGAGCGAGGGCGACTTTTTTGCGGGATTAGGCAGGTGCACTATGGAACCCCAAATCGAGCGAGGGCGCTCTGTGCATGGACCAGAAATGTGGGGGGGGGGGGTGGGAGTGCCGTGGGCTGCATCCGCACGGTTGTTCCTCACGACCACCGGAGCTGTCCCAGCCCACCTACGCAGCCAACATTTGCACAACTCCGAATCCAAAATGTTCCAGGCAGAACTAATTGAGTCAGCAGAACATTTGAGCAGAAAGACTTTGGCAGGCTGGCACCGAAGTCGGCGATGCGATTACCCAGGAGGAGACGGAGCAGCCGACGCAGGCCCTGTTCCACGCTGTGTTTCTGACTGGCAGGGTCACGAGCACCATCAGTCATTAGAAGAGTTTGGCAGGCAGAGCTTCAAGGGGCGGAGGGAAACGCTGCCAAAGGCAGCTTGGCATAGCCTGGCTCGTTGGTCACATGAGACTTCGAGTTGAAGCCTTCGTCCGGTAGGCAAGTCTGCAATGTTGATGGGATTCTCTCAATCCGAAGAAAACATGATGGAGATCCTGGAGGCCACCAGCGTGTCAGACTTGGGCCCGCGACATGGACTCACTTGCTTCAGGCTACGGTCGAAGACTCCAAAGGTGTCACTCAGGCTTATGGGGTGCTATGCTTCCGGCACGTGAAATGTGATTGTCGTTTGGTTGTTTTTGTCGAGGAACTCCCTGCTCAAGAAGCCGGGGCTTCAGCTTTGTACGACACCTTGGACAAGGATCAAAAGTCGCGGCTGGCCAGTTGCTTGTTGTGCAGATTGTCGTTCTGGAGGAGCTCCTTGCCGAATTGGCACCACCCTCTTCCGACGAACCTTCTGCAGCAGAAGGTGCTGACGCTGAGGCAGGGACCAGTCAAGGAGCGTTTGGTCTCAAACTCTCCAGCACCTCAGGCTGCCCGCAGAGCTGCGGCTGTCGCTGAATCCAGCATTGCTCCTAGATGTGACCCTGGGAAGCTCGAACCGCCTCTGTTAACGAGTGCGGACAATGCGAGCCGCAGACATGCTGCTGACCTGCAGGCTTGACGCTGGATGCAGAGGCCTTGCTGCGGAGTCAGGGACTGGCGACGGACGACCAGGAGTTTCGGCATAGTTAGGCTTAGTTACAAAGTTGAAGGCTGCTGTGACACGACGCAGTTTTAGTAAGCCGCAAGTCGCAGGTTCCAAGCCCTCCCGCGACAGGCCAATGAACAGGGAGGATCTTGGCCCTTGGCTGCTCGAAACTGCTGCCATGTCGCAAGGTCCCGATGCCGATCCCAGCCCATCTGCTCAAGGTTCCGGAGATCCCCAGCAGGCTCCAGTTGCCAAGCCGCATTTCAGAGCTAACTTGCTGCCGAAGAAGGCGCTCGAGTTTCAATGCTTCTGTGCTGAAGGTGGAGGTAGCATTTGCTGCTGAAGCGCCGGCACCTGCACCCAGTTCTGACGAGGCGAGGTATGAACAGAGCACCGCCCAGCAGTGCTCTCCGCGAAGAAAGCTACAGGCCTGTGCAAATCCGGAGCCGACGGCGACGCAGCAGGAGCCGACTTCGCCGAGTTGGGGGACCAAGAGGGCTGTGATTGCTATCGCAGCAAGAGCAAGGGTGCCCCAAACTCTTTTGAGCGCTCGGTCAACACAGGTGCAGTCTTCCCGGCGCCCGTCGCTGAAGCTGCAGGCCACTGCTGGCAGTCGACGCCGCCGCTTTGATGATGGCAGCGGCAGATTATATCAGAGTCATGTGGATGCCTTCAAGCAGGTCTTCTAGATTCTTCTAGCCTCCTCGCATGCTCTCCTCTTTGATGTTTGCAGCGTTTTGCAGCAGGTGTTGCTTCCGATGCTGCAGTTGCTGATGCAACGCATGGGCCCAGTGCAGGACTGAAAAAACTCAACTTTTGATCGGTGGCATGCAGAACGTAGCGCTTCGCTGAAAGAACATCCCATGCAGCAAATGCAGGGGAGCTTCCGTTGGCAAGTTCGGCAATTTGCAGGAGGGTCCGCGGAGCCTCTTCCCACAACGAGCATCCACTCTTCGGAGCCCTCAGGTCATGCCCGTCCGTCACACTCAGTTGAGCAGTCAACACTCCTTTCCCGAAGTTCCACAGGTCTGCAAAATGTGGTGGACATGACGTCGGACCAGGCTACAGTGGCTACAGGTGGCATGAGGGTTTTGCGCGGTCACCGCCCGGCAACGATCATGAGGCAGATGCATTTGCTGCAGTCCTTATAAGGCGATCCAATTGGAGCCACGGGGGTAGAAGCCGTGACGGGCCTTGCTGGCGGAGTTAGAGATAGTTGCTCTTGTGATGCACCTTCCTGTTACTTGTGGGCTTCCAACGGGGGCCACATCGCGGGCAGCTTGCAATTGCTGGAACGTCCAACACGACGGACGGAAAACGCGGCAGGTGAAGCGCCGGCACCGCCACCACGTGCAGATCCTGTCCAGGGTCTCTTGCTGAAACTGGTATTACACATGCGGCAGATCGGAGCGTCAGCACTTGCTCGAGGCGAGGCAGTCGTAGATCCGCCCGGTGCAGAAGGGGCTGCTGCAAGTCCTGAGCCGCAAGGCTTCCTGAGATTGGCATAGCAGAACAACTGGTGCTGTAGACAGCAGGGGTAAGACTGTGGACGGCCACGCAGCACAGGTGTAGCAACGCCCAGTCCACCTAGCCCACAAGGCCTTCCCCAAGAAGGCTGTCGGCATCAGTGTGTGCAGGCCTGAGGTTCCATGCAACACCGTCCCCTGGTAGGCTCGCACAAAACGGTCATCATCGCGAATGATGCTGGGGCTGCAGGGTCTGAAGGCGGGGCAGAAGTGGCAGTCTTCAGTTGGTGTAAGCCGTGTAAGCCAGAAGAACGGCGAGGGCTTGTGGCGGCAGATGCTGTCGCGGCAGATGCTGTCGCGGCAGATGCTGCGGCAGATGGGCAACTTCCAGCCCCAGGCAGGGTTACATTGAAGATTTGATGCCAGCCAAGCGGGTTTGTTTATGCACTGACTCAGGACAACTTCCAGACTCGCCGGTCCGGCAGCCTGAAGCGTCGGATGTTCATCTCACGACAGGCGCTCTTCTGTTGCTCTGAGAGTTGGTGAGTCTAGTAATCTAGTACAGAGAGCAAGGGAGAGAGCTTGCTCTGTTCGTGAAGAGTAGCGGGAAAGAGCGAGGGGCACCCCAGATTGCGGCACTCGCCCTGTGTAACGGCATGCCTGTCCATCAGTGGACTGTTTGCTGTTTCCAAGTCGACAGGGGGACCCACTCAGCCCCAGAAGTCACGCCGCTGAGCAAAGCATAGCAAAGCAAGAGTAAGCAAGCCACTGTGCCCGCTTGCACCGAAATTCCCCATGGCGCGAACTCGACCGTGGAGCTGCTCGGCGCGACTCCTTTTTTGAGCCCCTGAGCAAAGCCAGGCAAAAGAGGTTGGAGGGAGCTTCGCGAACGCGCGGGCTCAGCGGACTGCCCTCAGTCTTCACTCCTAGCAAAGCAGAAAGCATAGAGAAGAAGACGGGGGAAGACCTTCTCACCCGCTCTCCGTAGATGCCTCAATCCGTTGCGCGCAGGGGGGGGGCGGGGCGGGACGACTGCCTCCATTGGCTGTGTGGAAGAAGAGAGACCTTGGCTGTGGTCCAATCAAAAGAGTACTAGAGAGTTGACTACCCGCAGTATTAGGCACGGATACATCCTGCGTTAAGGTGAATTTCAGTCCGAGCTCTCTCAACCCTCCGTGTGTCGCCCATGACCCGAGTGAAGCCTGATACGGTTCGGTGTGGTTGAGGTGATGGTTTAGGTTGGGTGTTATTCGGGGACCGGTTACAGGCACGTTCGGGGGCAAGCACCCACCACCCCCGAAAGGGGTTCAACTGAAAATGGATCAAGCGTGCCTTGTAGGGCAGGCCTTCGGGCCACGGGGTTGTCCGCAGCCCCTACACCCCATGCAAGCAAGCAAGAGAGCCTGCACGTGATGCCGATGTTGAAGCGAAAGGCGATGTGTGGGAAGTACGTCCACTATTGTACTCTATACGGCCTCAGCCTGCAGTACCTCTTTTTTTCCTTTCATTTCGCTTTCACGTCCCAACAGACTGACCGACTGACGGTTGCGCGCCTCAGGGGTAGGCCTTCAACCTTCGGGCGAGGGGGCTGCGTGCAGTGTGCAGTTCTAACAACGGCCAATCACAGCAATCTGGCAAGCACTGCGCGGGCCCGTGCTTCCTGCTTTTCGGTTGTATGCGTTTGCTTAAGCTTGAGGTAACCGTGGTTGTGACTAAATGCGCGTGTATTTTATATGTTTTCTTAGGGTTCCCAGCAACTTAAACTTATACACCTGTGAGGACCTCTCTGCACTTTGCCGCTTGTAAACCAACGGCGGATGGCTCCTTCCATCCCTTCGTGTGCCCATCACCAGATGGCTCCTTCCATCCCTTCGTCGCAGTGCCTCGCAGTAGCCACTGCCCCCAACGTAAACAGGCCCAGCCAAGTCACAAGTCCAAGGTGCCGAAGACATTGGTGCCAATCTTAGAGGCTTGATTTATCAGATCAGACCGCACATGGGGTAAGAGAAGATTCGGGCGAATCCCGCTGTGCATGCTGCAGATCTGACCGCATCACTTTGTATTGATGAGCTACTTGTTTGTTCAAGGTCGAGCAGATGTGACGGAGGAAGCTACTAGCAGAGGGACAACAGAGCGCCCAGTTCTGCCGAGCCTGCCTCAGCAAGCTTGCACCAGACTGTCTTGGCTTTGCTGGATTTCAAGCAAGTGAACCGTTCGTACGTGTTCATATATGACCTCATATAACATACACACATGTGTGTATAGTGTGTATGTTACACATATATGTGATATTGCAAAGATATATGCACATACAGATACATATGTACACATGCATATTATAACATGCTTGCATATACATACTCACTTACATGCCTACATATATCCAGCCAGCCAGCCAGCCAGGTGCATTCATTAGCTCATTCGCATGCACAAGCCCTTGAATCATAGTTCCATCACCGAACAAGAATACACACCACTTCGCGAAAGACACGACGCTGACAAAGGCCAGCTGCGATCGTTGAACCCCAAGCGAAGCCAGAAGAAGCAAACGAAGACGAAGAAGAAGGCGTGACTGGCAGCCGTTTGGAAGGATGCAAAGTGCTTGGCATCCTCAACAGTACCTGTGGCACGGTAGAAGGTGCTAAAAGGCGAGCTGAGACGTCCGGTCTGACGGCTTGGACAGGTTTGGACATGCCGACAGAACTTCTTAGCCCAGAAGAGAAGCGCAAGGCATATTTGGAGGACTCCGCCTGCCTTGCCGATCTGTGCTGCCTTTGAAACAGAAACATGTGGCTCAGGAACTTGAGCGGGAACAGGCAAAGGCTCGCCCCCATGGGATGTCTTGCTGTGTGGCTTGGGGACTTGTCGAGTCTGCTCCTTGCCCGGGTTTTCCTTGGCGTCAGACCCCCCCTGCTAGGCTCGAGAAGCTGCAGATGCTGCTGCTGCCGCCAAATCAGTTGCGCAAGCAGCTGGCCCTGCAAAGCCTGAGCCGGAAGAAGAGGATCGCAACGGGTTCACATCCATTCATGGAATTTGTAGTCGCACTGTTTGACATTGTGGGTTCCACTTGGTTTCAGGATCTTGGCGCGTCGGTAACTCTGCAGCGCAATGCATCTCAGACTACTCCGTTGCTCCGAGAAGCCTTGCGATTAGTTGCCTCCTTCTCAGAGATGTGAGATATCGTGGTGCTGCAGAGTGTTGGAATCAACTCGTCAAGGCACCGGACAGTTGGGATTCCGACCAAGAAGAGAAGACTGGCCGGAAACGTCCGGATGTGCCTGCATCTCAGAGCTTATGACATGTCAATCCGGACTTTGAAACATGGCCCTGGGCCGCAAGGTCTCGCTTGGCTTCTTGCTGGGAGATCCTGGAGAAGGAATTGCTGGCTTTCCAATTGGCATTTCCACGACCCAAAGTTTCACAGGCTTGAAGCCACAGAACCGCAGAGGGTGACTAAAAGCTTCACCGCTTTTGCTGTCCTTCGGCTCGAAACCTCGAGAAAGCGCGGATTCGGCTAGGCACAACATGAAGATAATTTTTTTCCATGGTCTCGAGTCTGGCCCAGGGGCTCGCAAGCACAGGTGGCTGCGGGAGAACTATGACAGTGTAGTCTGTGTGGACATGTACATGTCTGTGGCCAACCCAATCAAAAGCCACAGCATTGCCCGCAATACTATTGCAAACTTGCTTTTCACCGCACCCTGGAACTTGCTGTCGCGCAGCATTGAGACATCGCTCGAGCAATGCTTGAGCTGTCAGGTTGAGGAAATGAACTCCGTCAGAAATCGAGACGGCGTGGTGATTGGCAGCTCTTGGGGCGGTGCAGTGGCCACCCTTGCCATAGCAAGGGGTCTTTGGAAAGGGCCAGCTATCTTGATAGCACCTGCGTACTCAGCAGCCGTGGCTCGATTTGGTGCATACTCACCAGAAAATGACTTGGCGACAGTGCATGCGCTGATTTCGGAAAGAATCAAGTCCTCTGACTATTCGGGGCAAGTGATTATCGTGCATGGCACGGCAGATGAGACCATCCCAATCGAGCACAGTCGGGAGATGGCAGTTGCCACTGGCATTCGTCTCGTGGAGGTTGAAGGCGCTGATCATTCAATGCGATGCTTGTTCCAAGATGGTGGCATGCTTCTGAAGTCGGTCATACGAGATGCGCAGCTGAGCAATGACCGGAGCTGACGCTATACCGCTGTCTCACAGTCAGATGCCTGCCTTCTGCCCAAGCCGAGGCACGCCTCAAACTGCTTTCGCAGTGGCCGGGTAGGGCACGGAAAGATCTCACAAAGCATGGGCACACAGACGCATGTTGATACCTCTTTGTTCGAACATGGACGAGAGGCGAGCTAGTCGTTTTGCACATGGTGCCGACGGTGTCTGCCAAGTTCGCATGCGACGGACATGTGCTTGTGTCACAACCTGCGTTGGGCAAGATGCCGGGGTGAGCTGGTGTGGTGGGAGCTGTTCTGGCGGTCATGCACGCTCTCCCCAAGTCTTCCCGTTCCCCAGCAATCAAACCATAGCACCGTGTAGAGATTGTCACCTTAAAGGGTGCTTAGGTGCTTGGTTGCCGCGAAGAAAGCGTGGGAAGGTCGGTTTGTTCGAAGATAGAAAAAGCAGCGTTCACGGTGAAAGTCGGTGTCTCTTTCCCAGCTTCACTTTGACATAGTGTAAGCACGTATCAAGGAATTGAGTCGAAAGTGGCTTGGATGTTCCTGGATATGTTTCAAGGAAACTTGCAGCTTTGGGTTTGCCTCAGTGCAATCAGCATCATGACTCCTGGCTTGGACGGTTCAGAGGCAGAGCTGCCAAAGGCTTCAGACTTTGACTGCCTAATGCTTGAGCCTTCGGCCCTATGACCTTGCTGTGCAGAGCTCGAACTTAAGCTTCCGCAATGACTGAACAGGACTTCGAGACTGTTTTGGAGGCCGAGCATCAGAGGATTGACGAGGCACGCCGACATTACCTCATTACCTTTGCACCATCACCATGTCAATTGGGATGCGTCTTGCACCAGCAAGCATTCCCAATGTCGGGCCAGGACCTCGACCGTGAGACGCAAGTTACGTTGGCAAAGATAGAGGCTCTTGCCACTGTGGCAGTGAACCTTGTTTGACCTGCTCCCTTCCAAGCATGGAGGCCCAGGAAAAAGATCTGAAGGAAAGAGTTCAACTCCGAGCAAAGGCGGCGCAGATGCAATGGCTTGCCAGCAGCCTTGGCCGAGCCAGCTGATCAATCCAGGTGGCAGAGACGAAGGACCCCGCGAAGGTGCAGCAGTTGCGCACCGTTGCAGAGCCCAATGCTAAGGACACACCGGCAGCCTGTAAGCGGCGCAAGCTCTCGCAACCCGAGTTGATACCTCTTTACCCAGGTCGGTCACACTGGCTGCAGACACAGCTCGGAACAAGAGGCAGGCCGCGAAGGCAGGATGCTGGCAGCGTTTGGGAGCTGCTGTCGATCCGACTGCTCAGTGTTTGCTGAACCAGGCTGCCCGACGCACTATTGCTCGGCAGAAGGCATGGCAAGCATTGATCCTGCCTGGGAACTTGGACACTACAACTTCTTGCGTGCCAGGTGGCGGCACGGAAACAAGCCCTGCAAAAGGCATTGGGGCCGGATCACACAGAAGCCGCCAGCCGCGTCATTGCCTGAGCCACCGTGCCCACACCAATGCAACATGGAACCGTCTGGGTGACATGAGGAGTTGCTACGCATGCAGCTTCCCAGCCAAGAGGCCGGAACAACCGTTTGAAATTGGGCTCTGGTGGCATCGTAGCATGTCTGCGGAGTGAGGCTTTTTCGAGCATGTCGCCGCAAGAAGCTTTGGCGGAGGCGGCTCAACACTCGTACGAGCTGGAGCCTGCATGACTCCTGTGACTACTCAGACTACTCTACTCCTGTCTCCTGACCGTCAGGTTTCCGCTACTGCAGCCACCTGCTTTCGGTCCCTGCAAGTCGTGGCCTTGCGACCGCTGGACGAGACTGTCAGGCGAAGTCCTTTTGCGAGTCAGGATTGGGTGTCTCATGCTTTTCTTGGATGCCCTACTTCACTCATGCTGATGACTCTGATGACAGCGGGTAGACTTGAGCTGATGATGCTTACAAGTACGAGGGAAAGGGCTGTGTTTCGATTGTGGTACTTTTGTTGCAGGTTTGATCCGGAAAATCCGGCCAGCGCAGCTCGGCATGGTCTTGATTGCGCGTGCTGTGTTGGCAGAACGTTGGCCAAGATGTGGAGAGTATTGGAGAGTCCGAAAGTGCTGCATGAAGGCCCAGCCTTCTGCAAAGGACCTGGCGCAGCAGCCTGAGGGCACTTGATGCTGACAGTTTAAACAATACCTCGCCATTGCCAGGTTTGCAACTTCTGCAGCTCTGCCTGAGCTGAAATCTTGCCTGGAATCTTTGCGAAAACGTCTTCAAGAAGAGAAAGACAGCCCGCCATGTGCTCAGATATGACCCTGGGCCTGCCTGCCACTGCTTTCGAACGTCGTCGTTGGCCTGTTTGTGGCTGCCTTCAAAGAATACTGGCAAGGCCGCAAGTCGATCCAACCCTTCGATCGATCGCGACGGACGAAGACAAGAGACTCAGCTTGAGATTGAGCATTTGTTCTGGCAGATCCGTTCAGCTGCTCCACCGTATGCCTGTCGGGTTTGGTAGGCTTACAAGCACCACCCGCCCTGTAGCTATGACCATTTGCAGGGTTGACTTCATGATTACTTTTCAGATAGATGATAGATGGCCTTGCAGTTTGGGAAGCCAAGCTGAAGGCTCAACGGCAGTGTGTGTCAGACAGTCCGTCAAGACGTTGCGATAGCTCGCAGGTCAAACTCAACCCGAGGGAGGATGCAGTTCGTATGTCGTCGCTCTGACTTGCTCGCAGTCCTGTTGAGACGGGGGTTGAGTTTGCGTCCTTTCCATAGAGCTGGTAGGTTTCGATACTGCAGTATGAATCTAACCGTGAGTCTGCGAAGCGTTCCACTCAGGATGAGCAAAGATGACAAGCGCGACTTCATCATGTTTGAAGGCTAGGGCCAGTAAACTTTTCTTAGTTGCAGCTGCAAGCGTTCTTAGCTGGTGTCTCTTTAGTAGTATCGCGCCGAAGGCCAGCAAGAGTACGACTGGGAAAGGAGCATCAACATCAAGATGAAGGAACCGTTTGTGACAACATCTGTTATGTCGCAAGAAGAAACCTCGGACCATGTGCTGGGTGAGTTGGACACTGCGAGCTTCGAAACCTCGCCTCTATTCAGGAGCAGATGCGACGGCGCGATGTTCACATGAAGGAGAGCTTGGAAAGGGTGAGTCAGGCCCTCCACAGACGATGGCGCAGACAACGTGACAGGCTCCCTTTTCCTGCCGGGCACACCCTGTTGTCAAGCTGCAAAGCTCTTTCGGCCAGGGACAAGGCTCATGCCATGGAGCGGATGGCTGCTCTTCGCAAGGTCATGGACGACACAGAGGCAACAATCTGAGAGTCGAAGGCACGGGTGGAAAGCCGTTCCCTTTGAAGGAGGAGCTCGACAAGATGCGGAAAGAACAAGCAGAAGCCACGGAGAAAGAGGCCATTTTACAGGGATGCAGAGTTCTAATCAGGGTGTCCGCAACGGCGGGACCTCCTCGCGAGCTGATTGTGTGCTCTGCAGTGGGAACCCTTTTGCAGGACTTTCTGTCGACCCCAGTACCCCATCCCAATGCTTGGACCAGTTGTGCGATGTCCGATGTCCAATGTGGAGCGAGGTGGAAGCTTTAGAAAGTGAAAGACGGCGTCTCCAAGAACAGACGCGAGTTTTGATGCTGCGACCACAGAACTGTTTGCACTTGCGGAGGCATGTTTGGTAGGAAGCGGCACAGTCGTTTGAGACAACCGTGCAGCTTCCTGAGGTCTGCCGCGCTCGTGGTCCGTCAAGAAAAAGCGCGCATAAACAAGGCCTGGCCGGCCTGCGCCTGACGTACCAGTGGAGAGGTATCCCCGCACCCAACTAATGTAAAACGGGGGGCGTGGGTTGGGATTCGGAGTGGGAAGCCCCTTCTGTCGGAGTATCTGTGTTATGTCGGAGAGTCAGGGCGCTAGAAAGTTGTGCAAAAGCAAACCAAAACCTGGAATTTGGTTAGGGCTTTGTTTCCAGAGAAGCGACATGGCGTTGATGTTTCGCTTTTCGCGCATTGCCTCGCGATTGTATCTTTGCTCTTCGAGGCTTCTGCTACGTTACAGATCACACACATGTATATCAGCATGTTCAGTTCCTGCCACGGGTCTAATTGGGCCAGACATGAGGCGCGGGGTAATGTTTAACAGAGGGGGGCCGGTGCACATTAACACCTCCCTCGCGTACTCTTGGGAGATCACGAGTATTCCTACTAGTATCTGTCTTGAGCTGGACTAAAAAAGATTCCGACAAGGTGGGTAAGTCATGTTGAGGGCTATGGCAGGGAAAGCGTAATGTAAAACGGGGGGGGTCGTCATACATTAATGCCTCCGTCGCGTGGGATTAGTGCCACAATTGCTTGTTTGTTTTGAGCTATACTACCTGAGACTTGGACTCCGATCAGGAGGGTGACTCCTGTTGAGGGTTATGGCCAGGAAAGCTGTCTTCGTTTGCCTTCAGTGCGAAGATGTCCAATCTGCCCACCTAGTCCGAAGGGTCCGTTTTACATTGTTTGTTCCTTGGTGGCCCCCCAAGAAATGTAAAACTGAGGGGGGCCCCCGAAGTTGGGGTTAAGCGCAGGGATGGAGAGGTTTTATTTGGGAGGGTAGGAAGGACTTGATCCTTTACATCCGAAGGCGTGGTATGCTGAGCCACGGGAGAAGAAGGCTTTGACTTTCCAGCTCCTTGGATTCCTGAGCCGGTGTGCGCGATGTTACAGCACCCTCTCAACCTGACATTTTGCTTCCTGTGCACTTGTGCGAAACATTGCGAAGCCAATTCTGGATCCCTGGGGCGAGTGCAGACGCGTCCAAGGTCCTTGAAGATCATTCGCAGACTTCATGCTGACATGATTAACTTCCCAGTCACGGCGGAGCTTGGGCCTTAACCAAGGGTACTGCAAACAAAGTACAGCTACCTTTCAAACAAGTGATTGTGCCGCAGTGATAGACCCATGTCGCATACCGGGTTGTAAGCCTGTTGCCTCAACAGGATGTTGTTAGGGAGCAGGAATTTTGTCAGGGATCCGATCGTCAAGGCCCCGAAAGAGAGTCGAAGTGAGCAGGTCATGGCATGGTACTAGTAGAAAGTGATACGTATTCTGCAGCATGCAGCAACATGGAATCAATTGTCTACATGAACAAGATAAACAGATCATGCGTGCATGAATGGACGGATGGACGGATGTATGGTAGCTTCATGTTGTGCCATGTCTGCTATGCAATGTAATGAAACTTAGCTTTATACGCATATGTAGATGTTCTTCACAATAGCATGTACAAGTATATGCACACGTATACGTATATGTATGAATGTATGTATATGTATGCACAGCTGCTTTGGTGCCGGGGGTGGGGACGGCGGCGGGGGGGAGGTGACTTGTCATGATTCCGTGCACACTTAACCAGTGTTAACCGTCGTACATCGTGATACCCGCCACTAGAGGCGGAAGTCTAGTAGCACATGACATAGTACAGAGCATTGCCCCGAAGAGCATCAACAGCAACAACAATCCTGCGATAACAGCGAACACTACAACCATGGGTAAGGTTGCTAGCATTACACATTTGTAGCAGAATGAGTGCCAGAACAGCAGGGGACGACCGTAGCTTTTCGCTGTGGTCCTTTGCATTTTTTGCAAGACTGCCGATGATGCCGCTCATGTTGGCACCAAGGTTTAAGCAGAAGCACTCTGTGCTGCTGTGCCCCGGTTTGAGTTCGTCTATGAAGATTTATTTGTGGTGGCATGAGAGGTCAAGTACGGAAACTAATCGAAGCTACCATACTGTGCCATGCACGGATGAGCAAAGGAATCAAAGGCTAGGTCTGGGGTTGGGGCAGGCTTCAACATGCACTTTCCCGAGGTACTCGCTCCGCATGCTCGAAGGTCGCCTAAGAAAGGATTGCCCCTATGCGAAGGATACGGACATCCAGGAGGCAGATGTGAAGTGTTTGATGGGCACATGTGCAAGCTGCACAATTCCGATGGTGTGCAGGGGCCGTTGGAAGAAACGCCCGATCTTAAAAAGCAGATGGAGGAGGACCTACATGTCGGATCTACATGTCGGATAGCGCGACCAGCTGGTAGATCGGTGCAGAAGCGCATGCGCTGCCCTTCTCTCTCTTTCTCTCCCGTTTTCGCTTTCACAGAGGCAGAGAATGCCTTCGAAGATCAACTCAGCGCCGACATCGATGAAATCCGCGATGCGAATCGCGAAAAGGCCAGTTTTGTGCCCCCTGTTCTGGACGTTTCAGCGCATTGGGAATTGGTTCAGCGCAGGTGCAACGGGCCATGGCGCGTGAAGCCGCACTGCGGCGCCGTGCTGCAGAGGCTGCAAAGCCTCCTTATGCAAGCCCAAACAAACCCACAATGCTCAAAATAGATGTAGGACTCCCGGATAACATAGTCTCAGACTAGCTTGGGCTTGGTGGGCCGAACGCATCCAGAAATAAATTTGGTGACATTTTTGCTCATCGCCGAATCGCGCATAGTGTCCAGTGCGAAGGTCGAACTCGCACCTGCTCTGGATCAAGCCGCCACAGCACTGCAGCGCACCTGGATTCTGATTTGTTGAGGCACTCTGGCTGTTTGTGGAACTTGCCGAAGGTCGCGCTCAGAGCGGGCCGCACGTCGGGCCGAGATCGCCGAGGACCTCCTGCGACCTCTGGGAATGCTGGCATCGCAGCTCGGCGGTGAGGCTCGGAGAAGCTTTTGCCAACACCAAGAAACTGCTGAGCCTGCCAGGCCTTCCGGCATGCTCAGCTCGAGAGCGGGATGCACGAGCCCGCTAGCTTCAACCCAAAGAGGAAGCGGTTGGAGGCCGGGATGTGGTGCGGTGGCACCGACTCGGGGACAAGTGGGTTTCAGATGAGGCCTCGCTCGTCTCCACCTTGAAAGTCCTGGAGGAAGTCCTTCCACACCTCAATGCAGAGGAGGCACTAGCAATACTTGTCAGCTTTTGGCTTCGAGGCACGCCCGACCAGAGGTGCAAAAGGTTGCGGCGGCACCTTCCTCACTGGGCAAAGAACCAGAGTGGGAGGCGAACACTGCCCTGACTGAAATTGATTGTATGCTTCCATCACTCTGTGTCTCTTGATCGCCCTGATTTAACCCTGGTGCCTTGGAGGAAGCTTTGGAAGAAGCGAGATCCAGGTGGTCGGCATTTTGTCATGGGCCCAGAGCTTGCTCAATCAGAGTATTTTGTGCTCTTAGTCGCTGGAAGCTATTGGTCTAAGCTGCGAGGTGAACGGCACCCTGATAGTGTGCCCGATGAGCAAGACACGCCACGCGGAGAGAAGACGGTTTCGTCGCATCAGAGCTGCACTGTGGCGTCTGATTGACCTGCTTGGGTGTTTTGTTTTGGCTTGTGAATCCAGGCATGCTTCGGTTGTGGGCAGATTAGACATGGATGACCTCGAGGCCTGTGCTTTGCACCAGACCTAAGAGTCATGTTTTCCTGAATCGGTGCTGACCTTCCTCGAACAAAGCGGGAGGGAGGCCAGGTTTCATGACCTGTACAAGGGAGCTTCTCGCAGCAGCGCACACTCTCTGCAGATTCCATGTTGGGAGGGGGGGTTGGGTGGTGTGGGTATGCTTGCAGGCCATATCGTGCACTTTGTTTGAACTAGGTCAGACTGTACCCGGGGGAGGGGGTCTGGAGGGCCCCGAGGGGCGTTTTGTCGTGATGTTGTTCGTCTTCGTTCGTCGCCGAAGGAAAAATCATGTCAAGACGTGAGGGTTTGCCGGCGTATTTGCTGTTCCCAGAAACTGTAGGGTTATTTGTTTTAAAACATGTGGGTGCCTACTGAGCATGTTGGAATGTGAGTACAAATAATATGTAACTGTATTTGCAAACGATTGTGCACGCAAGGTTGTGCCGTGCACTTAGACCGAACACTATGCATATGTGTCTGTGTCTGTGTATGTATATTTTTGTGTACTGCTGTGCAGCAGCTTTTGAGTCTCGGCTGCTTGCGTTGTCAAGAATCGAATATACTTCAATAAAGCTTGGGGAGCCAGTTCCTCAGGGATAAAGCGAGACTATCCAAACCGCTCAGCTTGAAAGAACTTGACTTCAAAGCTTGAGCCTTAACAAGCTCCCCTTGACTGCGACTTGGATCCCTAAACATACTAAACCCCAAACCCTGCTCCAGATCCTCGCAGTCTAAGCCGAAAAACTTGAGAAGCCTGCACTTGCACATGCCACAAGCTCAAGGCTGAGGCCCTGAGTCCCCAAAGGAACTTCCAAACACGTACCGGACTGTATGAAACCGCAAGTGCTCAACCCCACATCCGAAAACTGACCTGGAACCTCACCCCAAGCTCGGTGGAGCAGTAGTAACTGTTTGCCTAGTATGTCCAATCCCGGCACCAATGATCAATGCTCCGCGACAAATCTGAAGCCTGAGTTCAAGGCCCCCAACCCACGTTCTGGCATGATAGATCGCTGTCCGGCAGGATGACGATTACGGTGGGACAGCTGGGAATGCCCCTCGACGAAGGAACCATGGGGTGAGGATTGGTTTGCAAGAAACCGCACAGGCGCCCGCCAAGAAACTTCCGCCACCTCCTCCAAGAAAGATATCAGCAGCCGCGACCTTATGCAAGAAAAGTTCTCCGAGACAGGGGAAGGCAGAGGGGAAGAGAGAGAGAGAGAGAGAGAGAGAGAGAGGGCAGGCCCGAGCCAGGGTCGTGGGCCCCATGCCCCCAAGAAAGCAAGCAAGGGAGACGGAGCGGGAAGCGGAAGCAGCGGATGTTTTCCACTGAGGCGCCGGCTCGTCCGCCCAGTGCCGGCAGCGGGCGGCCACCGTCAAGCCCTGTGCCACCTGTGCCAGGCTGCGGCTGCCCGCGACATTCAGCCCAGCCTGGTAAGACCTCATGAAGCCGTGCCTGCGAGTGTGCGGGTCGAAGCCCATCGATTGACACAAATCGAGAAGTGCCGAAACCAGGTGCCAAAGCGAAGGCTGCTGCCCAACCGAGTGGTACAGGGGCATGGGGCTCGGGCAAAAGGCTCGGTTCCAACATTCTTTCTCCAGCGTTGAAACTGATGCAGGCCCAGGGTGCCAAGAAGGGCGCAGCCTTGCTGGAAAAGTTGGACGAGCTGTCTGCAACTATGGACCGTGGCTTTGCATCACATCAGAAAATTCGGCGGATGAAAGGGATGATAAGACTGCCCAACGCTCAGGTACTCTCGGCAAAAGCTCTGCCTTGAAGACCCCTGCTTCTGTCGGCGGCAGAAGCCTGAAGCCTCCAGGCATCCCCAAACACGCTGTGGCGCACTGGTCCTGGTCCTGGTCTTTGCGAGTATTCTGACACAGCAGAAATCAACCCTGGCCGCAGGCATTGGGAAAGGAGGAAAGAAGTGATGTCAAGTCAGGTTCGTAGAGGGTCAGACTATGCCAAAGATGCCAACTATCCGACCCGCTGTAGCAATAATTTTTGGGAGAATTCGACACCAGACCGGAACGGCGGAAACTCCAGTGATGGAGCATTCGCTGTATCACTTCATCATGTGCGCTCGTATTGCGGTACTGTAGCACACTGCAACTGCTGACCGTTCCTAATTCAGCATGTGCAACAATGGTCTCACTTGTCTCCCGGCTCATGGCCATGAGTGTGCACGAAGTCCAGGCCGCGCCAGGAGTGAGTTTCATAGTAGCATGTTTCATAGTCACAGTCTCGCCGTTGGCGAACTGATGAGTCTCACTTGGGCAAGACCCAACTGGTCACATCGCCGAGCTGAATCGTGTAATTACATCACTCGTATCCTTCAGTTTCGGCCGACATAGCACAGATTCCGTCTCACTGGTCGCGGGCGGGGTTAGATGAGATGCTCCCCCAGGAACCGTGACTCCTGCTAATGCTCGTGCCTCGTGAGTCGGGCAGAAAAAGGCTATCAGCCTGCACCGGAGGCCAGTCGCTCCCAGAGTTCAGACAGCAGCTGCTACGCGAAGCACATGTCCACATGTCATCTCGAATGTAGCGATCGTCACCGGTCACCGAACACTAATCAATCCGATGATCGTTCTTTCTGTGGACATTACTCGCCTACCTTTGAGCTCACATCTTCTGGATCCGCCGTGTCCTAGCGATTGTCATGTCCAGCTAAGCGCCCGCAGCATGATGGAGCCATGGTGTCATCTGTGAAAATTATCCGCAGAACATACCGCACGAAGCTCCGTGCACTTTGGACGACACGAACTGAGCAGAAGGCTTCAAGCTTTCCTCACCTGAGGCTACCTGCACCCTGACGGTTCGGCATCGTGCCAGACCGTGCTTCAGTGTCCTCACCAGGCAAGAGCACGGTGCCTCAACTCATGTATGTCGAAACGGCTTGCTTGCAGGGATGCGGCATAGAACTTGAAGATTTCCAAGGAAGCTGACTGCACATGAGGTGCAGGTGATGATAGGTGAAAGCTGGAGTTTTCGCGAGTATGCTTCAAGGACTCGTCACCCACGCTTTAGAGCAGCACGACCTGAAGCTTCCGAGTCCAAGGATCCCTCCCGAGTTGACACAAGACACATCGATGTGATTCCCATTTGCAGTTGCCCAGTTGGACTGGCGAAATCCCACAGACTACAAAGCTGCCCAGTTCGAGCCAGCCTCTGGACTGCACGTGGACAGCAATATCGGTACGTACTGCCGACTGCTCGGACCTGGAACGAGGAAGGTAACTCGATTGCGCCTCCCGGACGGAGAGACACGACTAGTTTGCGCGGATCTCAGAACACAAACATACCCCAAGTACGATGATGCCAACGTTTGGTGTCGAGTTTGTCACCTCAGTCCTTGATCTTGGCTGTCGACACAAGTCAAGTTTGAGCGTAGGCGTAGATACATGTTTGGACACGACACGAGGTACAACAGAAAGCTTTGCAGCATTTAGAAGCAAATGCAGTAGGCGGCTGATGCATGAGTCTTGGCTAGAACATGGACGATGGAGCATGCAGCTTCAGCTGTTCTGCGGCGGCTGCCCCGACAGTTGAGGCAAGCCCACGTGTCAAGATTCAATCAAGTTTCACACAGAAGCTGTTTTTCAGTGTCACGATTCGATCCAGTATCCGTTCGCCGTAATATGGGATGCAGCATGGCCGCTCGTGTGATGTGGGATAGGTTAACAGTTAACAGAGAGGACAAGTCGTCATCCTGACAGCATTCTCTGCCATTAGTTGCTGCTGTTCAAGCATGTGAAAGCTGCATGGGCGCAACGTTCAACACAGCACTTGTGCGACAGGATTGGGGCACTGCCGTTGAGCAAGCCAATGCTGCTTACGAAGTCCAGAGGGCATTCGTGCAGAGCCTGGCAAGACGCGTGGCTGTGGATCACATGTAGCAGAGTCTTGTGGCATGCAGTCCGCACTGCAGTTTCCCACGTTCTTGATGCACCAAGAATCTGGCGCTGCCCGAGAAGAATTGGTGAAGGCGACATTGGCGCCATACATCAACTCTACCAAGGGGTGTGGGGGTGGCAGTAGCCTGCAACACCAACTACAGCCATCTTCTTCTTTGTGCATTTTAGTCCATCGTGTATGTTGTGAATGCTCGCCGCTGGGTACTTTTTGTATGCGATAGACAACCTTCTTGGGTTCAATATCTAGATACTGGATACCAAGGAAAGGACAGCACACTTGCAAACCGATGGGCCTTAAGGCTAGGCATGCACACGTGGTGCGTCGTCAATCTACACAGACGTCGGATAGAATGACTTTGACGTCACGTCGAACTTCACGGTGTGTAAAATGATTCAGCCCTTGATTCTTAATGCTCCCGACAAGTCACACGGGTCACACGGAACATGTGACATATGTGTAAGACTGATGCGTTGTGAATGCGTTGTGTTCTCTTGCTGGTGTTTTTCGTGTACTCGAAGACTCAACCTAGTAGCCGAAGCAACGTGCGAATCGAAGCAACAGGAGATCGCCCGACGCAGAGCGTTGAGAGAAACATTCTATTGCTTCAAAGTGGAACCATCGCGTCCGCACATCACGGTGTGTACTTGTGTCAACTTGAGAGTGGATCCTCTCTTCCTCTAATGCCACGAATGGACAGCTTAACGTGTCTCTAGCGAACCGATACAGGACGCAAGAGAAAGTATCTGAGTGGACGCTGCATGTTCTTGTTACCGGATGACAAGGAGCAACTCGGAACCTTGCCCTTTGCAAGAAATGTTGCTCAAGAACTTGCACGGCTCGGCCACATCGGGCACCGCGAAGGGAAGCCGAAATGGATTTTGCAAGTCGTTCTCCAATGGTTGAACATGTTTATTTCCTGCCGGCCGGCAGGCGCATGATCTTCTAAAGAAGCTCAAGAAGGAGCATACAGATCTAGTCAAGGCTGCCAACCGGTCTGTTGCGGCCTCACGGCAGTCTTCTGAATTGCTCCTCCGCAGTTTCGTGGCTGTCGAGATTTTCCAGCGAGTGAGGGACAGCTTGTGCACCGCTTGAGGTGCCCTCCACAAGCAAACGAGGACTAGCATCCTATCCACCACCGATGTGCATTCCACGTGACGAGTTGGACTCGCGATTCATCGTTACCTTTTCGCACCTCTGCAAGATTCGTCCAAGCACTTGCGCTGCAGACCGTGTAAGTTTCAGTGGGCTGTTAACTAAGCTCAGTAGGCCTCTAGGCATGCGACGGATCGCCACTGCTACTTGCGTTTGCTTACTGCTTGGCGTAACTCGCTAGCCGTCAAACTGCATGAATATCACGGTGCGGACACTTTGATCTGCCAGGGCCCTTCAGACTTGCCGAGATGGATTTGATTCCCGATTGAGGCATGCATTGCAGCACCGACAGAGCGTAGCCCTAACATCCATCATCAAGCCGCGCTCCGAGTCACATCCGTAGCAGGGAGTATTGCCCTCCTAGGTCGAAGGCAAGGTAGACTGAGACTAAGAGATACAAAGAGGTACTAAGAGTTAGGCTGCCAAGAATAGTTTCAGAATCAAGCTTGGGCACGCCTGCATTTCTTCGATCAAAACCGTGCTATCACTTCCAGGTTTTGGACAGCTGACAACAAGTGTCCAAAGCTCTCACATGCATTGGCAGGAGGCGGGCCCATCGCATCCCAACGTCTTTGGCAGTGCACTTCATGGTCCGTCATGACGCTCCAAGTGTAGTCTACGACGCCATGACGATGTGGCTCGAGGTAGCTATCCCTTCTTTCCAGGACGGGGCCATCATCTCACAAAGTCGCGCGAATCATGAACAAATCCTTGAAGTATCTCGTTCGACATGCAACCGAAGCAGACCCGATAAGAATTGACGGGCGCTCGACATGTCCGTGACCTGAGGCATGTTCCCGCCACCCAGATACCGCAACCCGTCCTCCACACAACATGTTCAATAAACGCTTGGTCCACAAATTTAAAGCCGCTGGTTCAGGTCGCATGACAGTGTTCTGCTGCGAACTTTCACAGCTTAAACGAACGAATACAAAGATCGCATGGAGCAGCATCATAGGCACTTGCATTTGCATGACATGCATTTTTGCGGACTCCCTGCCTTGTCACGTGGTCTGAACCTGTTTGAGCTACTCTGGGTGGCTACAGTGTTGCGAAAATCTGGATTGTGATCTTAGGGTGGATGATGCCCATTCAGCCTGCAAGTTCATGGCTGAGTGTCTTGGTAGCCATGAGAAGGAGCAGGTTGCTTGTTTTTGCCATCCGGCGCAGCCATGATGGGTCAGGTATGGGTTTGTTATCTTCCGGGACGTTCTTTCCGATGCAGAGTGCACGCGGACAAGGGATGAGATTTGGAGCTATCTCGAACACAACGTGCAGCTCTGGTTGCAGTTATGCACAATGTCGCAAGAGTCCACGGTACTTCCCCAATCTGATCTGTTACGCGCCAGGTCGGGCTTCAAACGTGCAGAGCCAACGACGTGGAGTGTCCTCTCGCACACGGACACCGGCCGATACTATGATGCGCAGCCCCTTTTAACATCTCTCGAAGATGTGTCCAGGTGCATGTGTTCGCATGCATCCGTGGAACACTCCAGCTGCAAGAAGATTTCCTAGCTGCAGGTATGGATTGCCGCCGGATCCTGTCATAATTTCTCCGCAGATGCTGTGCAACCGCCAAAGCCGCACCAAAGCTTTGTCATTCTTTTCGTGCAATGCTGCGTAGAGCCGCGAACCGCCTGTGCTTCTTTGCGCTGCCAGCACCTGAGGCAAGGTTATTCGTGCATTTGAGATCGTGCTGGGTGAAAGTATCCTGGTCAGCCCAGCAGCTGCAAGAAACATCGATCTGGTTGCCCGCAGGAGGGGCTTGAAGCGTTCGGCAGCTGCGAGGTCATGATCGGTGGTGCCTGTATCGTCCAACGCAAGCTGGCGGAATTCCAACAAAAAACAACCTCCACCTGGATCTACATCCATGGCGTTGCGTGGCTGCAGACCCGATTCTCCAGCAAAGCTTCTCTGTGCCCATCCCTAAATTCAGACCGGTCCTGCAGATAGCACAACAAAGAGCAACGTGCTGGTTGAGGCTATCTGCAAGGAGATACCAGGATTGAGGACTTGCGCTATCAGCAGGGTCACGACCACGATTTTTCATTGGAGCACCTGGCTTGCAAAAGCTTCACAGCAGTACAAACTAGGATTGGAGCCTTCAGCGCATCTCAGGATCCCCAGAGCTCGCGCATCTTGACAGCAGAGCCAGTCTGGGCATGTCGCCGCACTTGCGATGTCGCATGCCGAGGCAGATGATGGGCCACATGTCCAAGGAGTCTTGAATCTAGTCGAGAACCTGGAGGAAGATGGAGGCCGTCTGATGTTGAGCTTGGACCTGTAGCAGACGAGGGCGACATGCTGGAGTTTGCAACGAGGCACCCAGCTAGTTCCAGGCGGCTTCTGCTGAGCTGCATAAGTTGCAAGCGTTGGTTGGCAGGTGGGAGCTGTTGTCGGTGCACTCGACCTGCAGGTTTTCATAAAATCTTTGAGAAGTGGCAGAAGGACCTAGGTGATGAGAGCGTGAAGGCCTCAAGACCCGAGGTGACCACTGCAGTGGAGTGGTAGCTTTGGGCCGACCAAGGATTGGCAGTTCAAGAGTGGTCAAGCTACAAACTGGTTACATCCAGGCGATGGAGGTGCCAGCTTCAAATTCCACGAGCAGGCAGGCCGGTACCAGGGCTCCAGGGTGCCTGAGGTGCCTGCGACGCTTGTTGAAGCGACCTGTTTGCAAAGGATCCTATCCATGCGCTTTCCCATCGGATACCCATGAAGCAGGGCAGCCTTCTGCTTTGGGACCAGCATCTTGGCTTCTCTATGAGTCTATGCAGTCTTCGCGTCATGCCGCATCTCCTTGAAGAGCATCAGGCGATGCGTTCACGGATCTCGTTCGGGCCTTCAGATCGAGCAGTGGATCGCTGCATGTGTTGCTCGGCCTTCAAGGTCCGAATCGGTCTTCGAGGATTCGAATGGCACAGTTCATCAGGGCATTCAGGCGGTCTCCGTTGAGCCCCGCTCGTGCAAGGGCACGAGCACAAGCGATCAAGCGAAAGATTCAGGCGCCCGTGCCATTTCTAGCAGTTAGAAACTTTCGGTGCAGGTGGGGCTATAGCTTTGTTTGCAATTTCCTGCGTCAAGGGTTCTTTGACGTTTTTTTCTGACCGGAGCTTGAGCGCTATTTCACCATGACTTCTACATTCTATTCTAGTACGTGTGCTGTTGGGTTTCGAGCTTGCCAGACCATGGCGATGCCATGGTAAGTTGAGTCCTTGAAACAAGTTGTGAAAGCCTGTCATCAAGAAACAGCGTGAAACAAGACGAGACGCCTGCGGGCTTCCTTTGCCATGATTATTGTCTCTGACCTCGCTTGGATTGCCCGCGTTCCCTCGATGCAGGCTACTGGACTCTTGGACACGGTCTCGGATGATGGCTGGAGGGTCTTTGGCTTCGCAGACCTGGACGAGCCAGAAGTGTGACATATTCAGCTGTGAACAAGGATTGCCATGCAACTTCGACCTGTGCTGCCTCATGCCGGAAAGAGCGATGAGCAGCTGGGCATCAGACGAGCCCCGGACAAGGTCTGAAACGTGTGTGAAGAGGGATGCACCTCTGCCGGGTGATGGAGTATCCGCGGCCTATTGCTTTTGGCACCGAAACGCTTGAGTTCGTGATCGACCGGACCCACGGAGCTACAGCAGCGGCGCCAGCTGCTGGCCAGATATTATTCTGCCGCAAAGGTGCAGAACCGCAATCCAGCACGAGCACTGGAGGGCTAATGCATCGTGGCTTGCAAATCGGAACCGCTGGCCAGTCCCAGCTGTACCATATGGTGTTGTTATATCTAGCGGTTTGCGCGCCCTTCTTCCAAAAAAATCCAAATCGGTCCAGTGTAGCAGTTTGGCCACAGCCCAAGCTTGAGCATAGCCTCTGTACAGTGGCGAGACACTCGCTCAGAATTACTGCGGCAGACTGATGTGGTTTGATTCGCGTCTTGTCTTCAGAGAAAAGACGCACTTGAACCGGAAGCCTTTGGACAGCTCATGCATCCTGCTCGTGGAACCCAATATACGATATTGCCGAGACCAGCCGATCAGGATCAAGGTGTTCGGCTTGAATGCGTAGCCTAAGATTGGAAAGGCTGAAAGATGGAGCCATGAACATGCAGCTGTCACGATGCGGACGGTGTGCCTCCACAAGAGTCAGTGGGGAAAAACTTTGGCGTGCAGCTGCAGCATTGTGCTGGCGTGGCTGCTGTCTTTCAGGCCGGCGCGAAACGAGAGTGAAGCTACTGGCTTTTGCTGAGCACCTGGCGCAGACTCGCCAGGTTGTCGCCCACACTGCAGCTTTGTGCGACATCTAGAGCCGGAGCAGGCACGGCCATGCTGCCACGCCGCCGCATGGCACACCGGAGCACAGTTATCATGTCATGGGGGCTTGCATAAAGCAGTCTGCACTTGCATGTAGAAGAGCACAGCGCAGCGCAGCGCAGGCGTCTATAAACTAGTCTATAAACATAACAGGCATACGTAAGGATGGGGCGCTGGTGGTCCAATAAAATTATCAGGGGCATGGACCAAAGCTCGTTTTCAATTGCGATGCTCGTGGTGCATGCGGTGCCAGGTGGGGCAGGAGGGGTGGTTTGGATTTTTTGCCGAAGAGAGTCATCCCGGCAGCACGACCCACGAAACCCACATGCATCTACACCTACCGTTTCGTTTTCGTGTCCATGTTCTGTCAACGGTCTCTGCTCCGCCATCAGGCATTGAGCCTCGGAGCCCTGGCGGCAAACAGGAAAGCTTGACAAGTGGGCGCATTGCGAGTTCATGTGGAAAAGCAGAACAAAATGCAGTGCCAGTCACCTTAGGACCATTGAGTTGCGTCGTGGTCTTCGGATTCCACGGCTGGGATTTGGCACCGGCAGGCCAGGAGGCTCGAGAGACCCAGGGGTCGGGGACCTAACTTTGTCGAGATGTTTGTCTTCCAGTCAATCGCAGTGAAGCATTGTGTCTATCAGTTGTCTATCCTTCGTTTCTCGTTCGCGTGACTTGCAAGCCGCGAGATTAACTTGGACATGTCGCAGTGGCACATGCTCTGCGAGAATGCCGCCGCCCATCCCAGCGTCTTTCATCATATGTGCACAGGCAGGGCGGTCAGCAGGAGTCAGGAATACAGCAGGGGGCAGCGAGAAACGCAGCTGCGGAATGATCTGATAGAGTTTGTTCTTGAGGTATGCTCGTGGACAGCTGCGAGACATTGATTCGGAAGGATAAAAGCGTTTCTCGCAGTCGCGGGTAGGCTAAGGGTGTCATGCATGGCTCGTCCCGTGGTCCTTCACTGACGTGGAAGTCCAGATGATTGACTTGGTCTTATTTGGTTAAGCTTTGCGCTCACTCGGGATGCGTGCATGCATGCGTGGCCCCGGCAGTGTGGGTTTCTCAACTCTGCGATAGACAAGGGAGTTAAGTCGCAGCATCGTTCGAGTGGTATTCTTGGGGTATCTTCAACATTGTCGTGCTGCTTCTGTGCTACGGAAACTCAATCAATGAAATCCAGAGCCATGGGCTGACTGACTTCCTGTCGCAACTTGGAAGGCGACACGCGCACTGCCCAGGTCACATTGGAGCAGGGTCGAAAGAGACTGGTGGAAGCGCTCAACGTGGCTATCCATGCAGGCTATCGGTTGGTTGACACCAGCCTATCCTCAGGCCCGGACGTTATGTAGGCATTGACAAGTTCAATCAAGGCACTGCCTGCGAACTTCTTGTTGTGGATGTGTCCGTGCCGGGGCGGCAAAGAATGGTGTTAGGGGCGAGAGTGATGACAATGAGGGAGGGAATGCTGAAGTGAGACCAGAGAGCAGATGCGCATACACCCGATTCTCAGCGAAGGGTATCTTGACATAGCAAGATCTGGTGCCAAAGCGAAGGCGCTCGGACAGAGGACCATCCGAGTTCTTCTCGCAGATCCGCTCCACAGCAATCATGTGTTGAGTTGGCACTTCCCAAACTGTGCACACAGGGGATAGGTATGGGGTCCAAACACGTCATACATCATGTGAGTTCACCGCTCTTTGGTTATATCGTACGTCAACGAGCTCCTTTGGACTCCCCGTCCCCAACGAGGAAGCCGCTCCTTCGTTGTCGCTTCGTAAATCACACCACTGGTCTGTAGCCAGCTTGACAACGGCGCTTTTATGTCGTGCTCCTTTCGGTCGTCGCGTGAAGCGTATTGTTGTTCTAAACAGAGTAGCAAACACATACATTACATGTGCAGATGCAACTTCTTAGAGGTTTCTAGACCTTGACTTTCTGCCATGACTTGTGTCGTCCTGCACTTCAATGGATTTCGTTTACGTCACCTTCGCCATCCTTCGCCTCGGTGCGCCGGGCATGTGTGAGGCAACCCTGGTTCCCAGGGATTTCGCATCCTGCCCCGGTCCTCGACATATGTCTGCTTACTGAGTCTGACAGCCGGGGGCGTCCAGAATCCTTTTGGCATTGCTCACTCACTGGAAATTCCCTTTTGCTGGGCGGGTGGACATACCTGTGCGTAGAGCACCTGTTGATTATTTCCAGCTCACAAAGTGTATGAGTGATTGAGCGCAAGGAATCGCATTGAGCTCGGCTGTAAGCGCAGGCGAGTGTCAGGCTTGGGGCCTGGCCTGGCTGGACTCACATGCACCGTGCAACTACCGAGAAGATTCAAGATGAAAGGTGCTGTAGGTGGTCGGCTCCAACCTACAGACATCAGATAAAATTTCATTGTGTGAGTTCTGTTGGTGCGTCTTGGTCTGTTCTTGCATATCAGTCTTCGAAACCTGGTTGCCGACTGCCTGCACATCTAGCGCGCTCTGGTCACACCACCTTGGGCATGACTTCGCTTCAGGCATGGAGTCAACCATCATAGAAGGAATTCGGAAGTCTGGTGTGCAGCCGAGCGAAGTTGTCATTGCCACGATGCTTTGCTTGATATTGTCGTGGAAATCTGCGCATAACATTCGAAGGGCTGGCTAGTATCCCGCCCAAGACCTGATCCGTTTCAGGAAGCTGCTTCAGCACGCACATTCTTCTCCCACCGCTGTGCGCTCTTCTTTGGAAGATTCCTTGCGAGACTTGCTTTAAAGCAGTGTCAGCTGACAGACGAGGCGTGGGCGCGTGACACGCCGAGGCAACCTGAAGTCCGAGTGCATAGACCTGTACCTGTTGCAGAGCCCCAGAGGCGGCATGATCAGCAAGGTGGCATCAACTCTTTGATATGAAGTCTTCAGAGCCCAGACGGAGTTAAAGACAAGCTTGGCATTCGAATACGCCGAGCGGGGCCAGGTTTGGACCCAGCTGCTGGCTCTCCGAGATGCAGGTTTGATCCGTGTTTTGTTTGCATTGATATGGCAGCAGGCGAACAGAAAATGACGAATGATAACGAGTAATTCAGCAAACTGTTTTTCGACCAGTTTCCCGTGGCACCTTGAACACGATCAGGTGCTGTGGGCGTGTCGAACTTCGGCATTCAGCAGCTGGAGGGCATGCGAGCCCAGGCTAGAGCTATTGGCTTCCGTCCGGTTGGATCCATGCATCGGATGCGGGCTTCAGACATCTCCGCTTATTGTGATGAACGAGTTTGAGCCGTGTTGACGAAAAGGGGTCAGACTGGGTTCCTGGGAAGACGGAAGACGCTTTGTGGGATGGTTGTTTTCGTCCTTCCGCATTGTCTTGTGCCTGCAGGTCGCTTACCCAGCCACGTTTTGCGCATCTAGTCATTGCTTGGAGAATTGATGCGACTTTCATGAACCGAACCATGGCCAAAACGAGTACCGCAGCTGCGAATCTAGTCGAGGAATGTCTGGCCTGGAGCTCCCGGAAGTGAACCAAGTGGAAGTCCACTGCTACTTGGCACTCTCTCATCGAGATAGAGCCGCCGTGCATTCGTATTGCGGGGGGGTGGTGGTCGAGGGGTGTTCGGGGTGTGGCTACCCCAGGAAGAACAAATATCCCGGCCAACCTTGTCTCTTTACCAGATTAAGCAGTTAGAAAAGCACCAATCGCAATGAGGTTCGCAAGAAAAACAGATGGCTTCGTAAGACGATCCCCGTCATACATCTTGGCTCGAGTGCGATGGTGGTACATACTGTACCTAAATTCAACGGGCAAGGACGGGTCAAACATAGTTCACAATTTCACTGCCCAGAAAAACCAAGCCCATGCTGAAAACCTGTCCAGAGAGCTAAGCAGCTACGCGTGACTTGGAGTCAGGTTGGAGGCAGATGCAAGACCTGACGGCGTACCACCGGACTCATTTTGCTGACAGTCGTGCTGGATCGGGATCGGGATGACCTCGGCTTTGCTCGGGCCGGCAGGAATCACCGAATCGCCACCATGGGGATGGCACCGCTGGCCCGAGGGGAAATGTTCAACAAAACTGACTCACGGCCGAAGTCAAGCAGCACCTGCCGGACGCATGTTCCAATTCAGAAGAAGAGCGGAAAGACATTGGCTTCACGAAAGATTGCTTGCGTAAGGATGTGGCAAACATCGCGTGTGAAGTTGGACGCAGTGAAGCATCTATCGCAGTGCGTGGCTCCACTCGTTTATGATGCAGCACTGCAGTATAGCAGATTCTGGGAACGGAAGCAAACAAGGATGGAGCATGCAGATGGGTTTTATCCCGCTCCCAAGGCAACGAGCGACCTCCGTGTTCGGTGTCTAGCAGACATCCATTGAAGGCCGTTCCTGATTTCAAGGTCTGTGCGACCGGACCGAATCCGCGAAAACTCAGCAGCAGGCTTCACACTCACAGAGTGTCAAATGGAAAGGACCCCACATGCTCATGTTCCAGTCTCGCATGTTTGGTTCCTAGAATGACCTGCAATTGATGCAGCCCAGACACCGCAGGATAGCCAGGGTGGACTCGAACTACACCTCATGCACGAAGGCGTCTCCGTGCTCGAGGCCGGGTGGCAGCATGGACCCGGCGGTCACTGTACGACAGTTGACCAGTGAGCCTCTGAGAGGCTTCCATGGGCCGCAGTTGCTGCCGACCTGCCCTGCTTATTTGGCGCGAAGCATGTTGCGCAGCTGGTGTTGGTGTCAGGAGCAAATTCCGGATAAGGCGATGTGGGACGAAAGCAAGCAGCGTAAGGCGTGCCGGAACACGAATCAGAGATATCTGCAGCCTTGCAAGCTATCTCCTGGAGAGGCCGAAGCAGCTAATTTCCGGCAAGAGCGAAGAAAGGAACGAGCTCGGAAGGCTTGAAAAGTCATGACACGCCATGAGGTTCTGGGGGTTGAGAGTGCTGATGAGAAGCGGTCTTGCTGGCATGCTCAAGCAATTTGACAGAAGGATGTACGCATCCCTTGGTTGGCTCCTATCAAGTTTGATACGGCAAAGCTTCCCGACAGGCCATGCTGAAGATGCAGCGCCAGCTCGCGGCACAGGCCTTGCACTCGGGCAACGGTCTTTCAGCTTCGTGTCCCATCTTTTGTGGTGCCAAGCTGGTGCAGTTTCTCGGTGTCTCGTAGATGCAGCACGTAAGTGCATGTGCCTTGTGCGGCTTTTCGTCAGATCGCATAATGTGGACGTTGATCTTCAGGCGGAAGTTGCAGCTGGCAGGAGGTCAAGGACAAAGCTGTTGGAATGCACACCGCAGCTCACAACAAGGGTGGCAACATCGCTAAATTTCTTTTGGGCCAGGTTTGCCAAAGAAGCAGGCTGAGCAGCGAGCCTCCAACGAGCCCGTAAGGGCTTAGTTCGCCGAAGGTCGCCGAAGAAACGGGAGAGCACACACATTGCCACGTGTTTGACGTGTGTTCTTTTGGGGCTTAGCCGGAGTCGGGGCGTTTTCAGCCGCTCTCGTGTTAGCTCGGTTTAACCGATCGCCCAGGCCCTGACTGCCAGCAGCACTTCCTCGATGAGGCACTGGCACTCGTTCCGGAGAGGGTCACACTCCTCTTTCGCGTCGCCCAGGGTGTTGTGTTAAAGTTTCAGCTTGAAAAGCCAGGGAGGTGTTTGAGTGAAGGGCCATCGACTTAGGGTTTTGCGGTCAAAACCCCCTTAGAGCCCGCCTGGATTTGTCCGTTTGTGAGTGTGAAAAAAAGACATGAAAAGCCTCAAAGACCAGACCCTCGGCGAAGATGTTGACTGGCGAAGCTTCAATCCTGTAGCAGGAGATGTTTGGCATGAAATCTTGACAAAAGCCTGAAAGTAGATGCGAGGTAGGAAGGCCTAGCCTTGCCTGAACCACTAGAGAGAATATCACGGGAAGGGCGTACGACCCTCACAAGAAATCGCACTGTGAGCACGTCCGAAACTACCGCCGGAGGGAGGTTGACCTGCTGGTCCCATCCAACAAAAACAACTCCTCACCAGACGAATACCTGCGGAGGCTTCCCTCCTGGAGCACATCGCAGCAATTCATGGGCGTGCTCTTTCAGTCTCGGGGGGCAGGTAAGAGTTTCCGTTTGGGCAGTGTTTTCATGGCTCTGTGTCGCATGGAAGGTTTGGTGGACAGTCTGACCAGCTTGATCTGCAGCTTGGGCCGCGCATGTCTTCTGGTGCGATTTCGCAGGAGGATTTACTTGTTCAGCCTTGTGCACGTGGTGAGCGGCTCCAGGCTTCACTCGTGCTCTCCACAGAAGCACCCACGATGTGACGAAATCCTGGAGCACCTTCAGCTGGTATCACTAGGCGGGTTCTTTAGAGAAGTGTCCTCGCCTCAGCGGCCTTGGCCTGCGAAGAGAGGATCCTTTTGTGGGATGCAGCTGCCTCAGCGGCCTTGGCCTGTCTTTCCTGGATTGCTGGCGTAGCGAAACCAGCTTTCAGGAAGCTCTCGATTCAGCGGCTTGGCCTGGGAACTGCACACCTTCCTTTTGATTGGACGCTTGACTTAGCTTTGGAGTCGCAGTCGCAGTAGTAGGTGCTTCAGATTCTGCTGGCAGCGACCCAGGATTCGAAGCACACAAGCGGGAGTCGAGCATTTTCTTCAGACTGGCTTTAGCGACTTCTTCTGCGTGGCACCTGACTCAGTCGAATTCGGACTTTGATTTTACGACTTGAGGGCAATGACGAGCCGATAAGGCCAGGAAGCTGGAAATCGAGTCTGCTGCGTGGCTTGGACGCATGGGTCCGCAAAGAGCGATCGTGCTGTAGAGAGCTTTGGCAAGCGAGTGGTCGCAGAAGGTTGACGGTGCATCGCGGAGAGCATCATTCCTTTTGGCACGATGACGTGCGCAAGCGCTTGCTCTAGGTTGTGTGCTGCCATGCCATTCGCGAGAAGGTTCACTTAATCAGCCACTTCACCACGCAGATGGTAAAGAAAGTAAGCTCTTGCTAGGTCGGCCAAGCTGCTGTGAGAGACAAGCTGCGCCGGCGCGTTGTACGATTCCTGGAGTTGGCAAGTGGCTTTCGCAATCAGGCCCGGGCCATGTTTCCCGACTGTTGGGTAGCTGAATGGCGCTGACAGTCACGGGACTTCCTCTTCCTCCGCAGCTGCGCATGCACCTCCGAGCTTCGTCATGCCGAGGTTGGGCATAAGTTCTGGTTCATCAGCTCGTAGTGTCAGCTCTGGAGGATCTCTATGCCGCTCTAGCCCAGTGCTTCAAACCTGGACAAGGGAACAGGCCTGGTGTTCTCGCGGCATGATCATCATACTTGCAGGAGGGAGAACTGGCTTGAGGGCATGTGAGTCTTTCGGACTAGACTGATTAGATGCTCATAAGCATGTGCACTTATCAAGTGCTGGGTTCATCCAACATGCCCTGATTCTTATAGTGATTTATTTTAGGAACAGGTTGGTACGCCAGCAAATGGTGGTGCTTGGTTCGAGCTGTTGAGTTTCTGGCATTGCTGTAGTCCAGATGGATAAAGAAAGTAGCTCCCGATTCATACTGGCAAGTCTCATTGCAGTCCGCGGGTGCTGCTGGCGATCATCGTTGATGGCCAGGCTCAGTTTGATCTTCCGTCAGGGGCAAACTGAAACAGCAGCTGTGTTGTTGAATGGTTCGTGAACGCAGTTGGAGTGCGACAGAGGGTTGCCGAATTCGCCGGGGAGCCACATTTTGCGCGCACACACACAACACACAAACACACACACACACAGACACACACACACACACACACACACACACACACACACACGCACACACACACACACACACACACGCACGCACACGCACACGCACACGCACAAACACACACACACACACACATGTATGTATGTATGTATGTATGTATGTAGGTATGTATCTATGTATGTATGTATGTATGGAAGACCTCGCCCTGCGGACCCTCAAGGCAGTTGAAGATTCGACGTGGGACCAGAACGGCCGACTCAATGCCATCGGCACTCAAGTCGGTACAGTTGGGACGGATATAGGCAAGGGACTCCAGCACGCACACCGAAAGCTGGATTCCATACATACCGCCTTGGGCAATCGGCCTGGAAACAGCTCAGATGGTGGTGGCAACACAGATGTCACCACCATCCTGGTGGCAGTCAAGGATCTCCAGACCGAGATGAAGGCTCTGAACCAGAACATGGAGCAGCTTCAGACGAAGGTGCAGTACGTGGAAGGGCGAATGGAGACGGCCCTAACGAAGTTAGTAGTTGTGGAACAGTCTACGAAAAGTTGGCGGCTGCTCGAGCCGGCGCCGACCATGCCTACGGAGGAAGCACCGCTCCCCCCGCCTGCACAACCACCGGGGCAGTGGCAGCCCCCATCGACGGGGCCCATGGCGAATACCACTGCACGCCCGACTTCGATACCGGCGCCTACAGTGCGACTGGCGCCACATGTGCAACTGGTGCAGCCCGGAATCCCGGGACTTCAGGCCCATGGTGGTCTTCCGACGACTTCACCCGTGCCTCAAGTCACACAGCCGGTACAGCAAGTGCAGCAACAAGTTCCTCCTGCAGTACAAGGAGTGATGAGCGGCTCCCAGACCGGCGAGATGGTGAATTTGCTCTGGAACGGGCAGATTTTTCCTGTCCCTGCTGCAGCCGTCCATCAAGGATGAAGAAGCTCAATAGGATGGCTCTATGTTGGCTACTGAGTGGCCTCGGATCATAGCGAGTGTTCTTCGGAAATGCTCTGACAGTGAAGCTGGTCCCTTTTATGTGTTTAGATATGTTGCATTTTGGCCCTCCTCTCTTAAACTACACTGTCGAGCCTTCCCGAAGATCACACTCCTTTCCCCTTTTGCCCCTTCGGGGTTGTACTGTTTCCTCCTTGCACTGCTTTTTATTTCCTTGCCTCTTTCGCACTGTCGTTTTTGCACTGACTTCCTTGCACTGCCTTCCTTGCACTGCCTTCCTTGCACTGCTCTGCCCTGCCTTGCTTGTACAATACTGTGTTTTTGCTGCTGACCTCACTGTGGAGCGAAGCACCAGTCTCCTTAGGCCCTCAGGGCTCCATGGAGTTCCGAGATGGATCGAACGAAGGCCCGCATGTTCCTTTCTTCGGATATTCCGACGTTGAACGGGGCCATGTACATGTACATGCATCTGCTCGAGGACCATGGACTATGTTGCCCGTTAAAAGTGAGCGAGGACACACAAGGGCGGATGGGTAGATGCTGCATGTTGATGGTGTGTGATGGGGTGACACACTTTTGTTGACTTACTTTGTTTTTGCCCCTCGCTGATGGTGCTTTGTGTTTTGCCATTTGCCCTCTGAGATGTGCTCTTTATGGATGGATGCTGCTGCTTCCCCTCGGTGATGGTGCGTGGGTGATGAGGTTATGCATGCCCCTCCTCACCCTTCCCCCACCTTGCCCACAACCGAGGCTGCAGCAAGGTCTATCCCTTGCATTCGAAACCGCTGGGCTTGCATGGGGTTTATCCCCCTGTCTGAAGGCCTAACAAGGCTGATGAAGGAGAATCTCCTCCTTATGGACTTTGGGAGTCGTAGTTCTGTGATAGTATGCCATGGTATTCATCGGGCCTGGGGGCGACTTTCGCTCCGCTGAGCAGGCTCCCTGGGATGGTCTAAGGATATCCGCCGCGAGTCTGTTTTCCTTTCCTCCTGCAGCAGAATGGACGAGGATATTCAACCGTATATGCTCTTCTGCGGAAGACCTCACTGCCGAGACCAGGCCATTTTTTGACTGGCCGTGGAGAGCTGGTAAATGGCTTCCCTGCCATGGCATGGCTTCTGCGTGCGATTTTCGCTACCTTTGCGCGGGATGCACGATATCTGAGCGTGCAAAACTGGGGATGTCGCGCTTTTGTGGTCCTTCTACATTCTGGGCAGGGGCATGGCACTTGCGCAGGAAAACTGGCGAACGTCGCAGCTTTCATATCCAACCTTTTTGCTCGCCTGGACAGATGTTTGCGCATGACCATTGTCATGGTGGTGGATCCACAGCTGGGGCCGTATTGGCTCAGGTGGCCTTTCTTTGGCTGACACTTGTCACTTGATGCTAACTTTGACTGAACCGGCCCTGCATCCCTGTACCATGACTGACAACTGCACTTGTGGGCATCCCGACGCTGAAGTTTGTCGACACTACATAACCGTCCGGTTTGAGAGGGGCTGTTTTGAGCTGCAGGTTGGGCAACTTCGTCATTTCCATCCAATGGGTTCGCTTTTGGATGCTGGGTGAGCGGGTGATTCTGCGGGAGCGCACAACACATAGTTGCGCCCTGCGGCTCTGGACAGTGAGGGGCAGGGACTACCTGCTTCTGTGGAGCTGAATGTACGACTGTGGATCGTTCGTGAGATTTACCTTGTACTTCAGGCCTACCTGAAGGAGCCGTCATAACACACTGATGAATCGCTGCGTTTGTTAATGCCACATTTGATCTGTCCCAATGTGGGCAGGCCTGTCACTAGCGTATGCTTCCTTAGCCTGTCAAACACCTCGTCTGACTTGTCGAGCACGAGTGACAAAAATGTATGTATGTATGTATGTATGTATGTCTATGTATATGTATATTATATATATATATATATGTATGTATATATATGTATACACACACACACCCGCGAACGCTCGCAGGCACGCAGGCACGCACGCACCCAGGAGGACTGCTGTAGATCAGCCAGCCATTCTGTACCAGGAGCACAAAAAAGACTGACCCCAAACCTAGCACATCATCTTGCAACATGTTCGGCATTAGCGGCTCGTGCTGCACCGGATGTAGTTGAAGTCTTCCCTTGGTTGTCTCATCGTGCAGATTTTTGTTTGCTTTTGGACAAATTGTCCCAGATGTTCTCGGCTTGGCTGCATTGCCATCCAATGAGGAAGCAGACTTGAATGTCTCGGTGTGGCCTTGAATCGTGTGCCGTCGCTGGTATGTGAAAGGACGCCACCTCTTCAAATCGTCATAGCACGACGCTGTAGGGGTTGGGCTGTGGGTGGTGGGATTGGACCTCCGATAATTGAACGTCACTTCCAGCGCTTCCGTTTTCATCGCTATGTAGTCTATGTAGACATTAAATGAGGTCAGAACACTTTTGTTTACCATGCCCCGATCTGATCTGCCAACTCCTGGTCAACTCGTCAGCGCCGGCACACAACGTCGATCATGAGCCAGACCGGTTCTTGTGGCAAGCACGATTCACTGTGATGTTGTTAGGCACAGCGCCAGGGTCCCATTCGTCATGCTTCACTGCCAGGTTCGGAGCAAGCCTGGAATGTGTCAGTTCAAGCACTGAACGTGCTGTTGGGAGGCCTTGTTTTCTTCACACAGGAGCAGCTGAGTGAAGAAGAAACAGCAGATAGTCAGGCAGGGCAACGACAGCGCGGGCACGGGCGGCACTCATGCTGGGAAGGCATACTGTTGGGCAATTGGTGCGGCCTGTGACGCAGCACTCCTGGAGTGTGCGCAAGGCACATTCCGCCTTATGCGATGGTGCTTGCGGTTGAGCTGAGCCAAAAGTTCTGCTCGCACAACAGGATTTTCCGTTCAGCCGGGGCAGAGAGTGGTCCAGAGCGGCACGGAGCTGGCCAATGGTGGACACTGCGGAGGCATGGCGTTTCATTCTTTTTCGCCTTCTGTAGATTCTGGTTTAGAAATCCACGGTATCGGTTGGAGGGGATTGCCGGGGATCACAGCTTTGAACTTAGCACACGTTTGGAAATCCTTCAGGCGAATGGTATCCGCCTCTGCAGTTCTGCGATGCAGGCCTGCATTCAGGCCGATATAGGGACAAGGAGCTGCCGTCTCAAAAACCTGGCTGCATCGCCAAGTGCTCTCACCATGGAGGTTATGGAGTAAGCTGTTTCGAAGCACCCGGAGCAGCACACCTGAACCTGGATGCTGATGTGGGCCGTGACGTGGACGACCCGGCGTCCGAACATAAGAACATGCTCGGTGTAGTCCGAATGCTGTTCAGTTGGAAACACCAGAACAATCTCACCCAGAACACGGCACACCCTGAACCTGCAAGATCCTCAAGACCTACAATCAAAGCATCCGGAACGGCTCGGAGTAAGCGGAACTCGGACGCAGAACCCGGAACAGGACCCGAAACCCAACCCGGAACCCCACAAAGAATATCAAAGGCGGGCTGATCCCGAAACTAAGAAGTTCTTACAATCACGCGAGACATGAATGCTGAGATTGCTTGACATGATTGTGCGTGCCGACTTGCACACCAACTGGATATTCATCCGGGCGAATGCACCATTTCCCCGGCGCCTCCCAGATGCATGCCCCATGTCCTTGCAATACCATAATAACCGTCAAAGTGATCATGCCGGCGATATTAGATAGGCACGGATTCAGGAGATAGTAATTTTATAGAGAGCAATCTTCGTGATTGTCCGTGCAAAATTCTGGATCCGTGAGTGTTCAATCAAAGACCGAGAATCATCATGACTTCAACTTGCCAATATATTAAGATGTAGACCTACACCTACTGCTGCCCAGCCCCAGGTAATATAAGTCCGATGATATCGAATCAAGAGTTATTAAACATGTTGAAAAAATTTGCAAGCAAAGGCATCCCATGACGGCATCGCACTTCATAAAACAGTTGGACCAAAATATCCTTCATTAATAGATTATGAAAATGACGAAATTAGATTAGAGGATTTAGAGGTCATGATCTCTATCTGTAACCATTGTTATGATGCATGTATATATCTGTAACCAGTGTTATGATTTAAGCCTGTCTCTAAGAGGCGTGGGCCATCAGTGTGTCCTGTTCGGGCTGGGTTTCGGGGATGTTTGCTAGTGCCCTGACCTGCCAAGTGCGGGTGTTGGAGAGGGTCGGAAAATGTATTTTTATTGCGGTGGTTTCAGAGGTCTAGATACATACGAGTCCGAAAAGTGTGGCTTCTTATTCTTAAGTTTCAGAAGACAAATTTTGGCTATAGGTATGTCGTGTCTTGAAGATGCGTGGCGTTGCGAAGATACGGCGTTATGACGAATATGTGAGACGGCTTATATAAATAATGTTATTGTATCTGATTAAGTTCTATTTTCGGAGTTTAAGATATAAAAAGCTTGTTTATGAAAATATGTTGGTTAGCAACTTGTTATTTTTCGGTTTACGGTTCTGCAGACGAGTAGCGTTTTTTTTAGTTGTGTCTGTGCGATATAATGGCGTTTTATACTTATATATTTGCGTAGTTGTTCTGCTTCGGGAAATAAGTTTCGCGTAGGGGGTTTTCTAAGGTAAGACTCGTGTAGATATTCGCGAGGAATTAGGAA